GCTGGCAGCAGCAGCCAAGCTGTACAGAGGCTTTACAGTAACACTCTCAGGTGCAGGAAGCGTTCCTGCTCCTTTGCTCCCGGTGCTGAAATGGAGTGCCGTGTTGGCCCACATTAAGGCTTGCCATGGGTAGTCAGGGTAGGGGAGGGGCTTAGGTGTGCTTAGAAGCTGTCCGGGGTCATATTCACTTCTTTGAAGGCAGAAGGGAAAGGACAAGAGAGAGGATAGGGACAGGGGAATGGGAAAGAAACCAAATGGTTTCATTTTAATATATCCAAGCCTTAAAGAAAATAATCACTGCCCAGTGCTCTGGGACAAGGCATAGTCTTTCTTCTTTGTGAGTTGGAGATGGGAAAAACATTACCCTGGGCCAGAAGGCAGCATGGAGCTAGGCTGTCAGGTCCAGACCCTTTCTCTGTACCCTTGTGCTGGTTTTTGTTAGGCTGCTCACCAGTTGCTAGGGTTTTTTTTTGTTTTGCTTCAATCATTTTCACTGATGAGAGCATCTGCTGCCATCTGTGCCTCCCCCTCCTCCCCCCGGCAGGGCTGCGCACCGCCGTGGTCTGCCTGCAGAGCCAGGCGCTCTTCAGTGTCCAACCTGCACACAGATGAGGGGATGGAGAGGAGGGAAGAGGCACCTCCATCAGTGTCCAGCTCTCCCCCAGTGTTTGCCAACCATAGCTGGGCACTCCTGCTGTTGTACCCATCACAGGGTACCCACAGTGACAACGTCCCAGAACCTGGTGGCTCTAAGCGAGGCTGCAGTTCTGCCTTTGAGAAGCCATCAACCTATGAGACAGTGTTGGAGGGGAAAATGGGGATGAAAGGGCTTTGGTAAGGTCACCCAGGACATCAGCACATGGCTGGGAAGGGAGGTGAGAGTTGCTACTTGCTGGCAGCGTGACTCTGCCTCCTGGCCCATGGAGCACCTGGGAAGCAGGGCTGTGATACTGCAGCATAGTTTGGCTTTGCTGGAGGATTACACACCCCAGAGCAGAATAGAGATTGCCATTTGCATCTATCTCTGACAGTTAATTTGGGTATCCAGGCTGGTAGCTGCTCCAGGCCTGACTCACCATGCTCTGCCTGCACACCTGGCAGCTCATCCCAGGCAGGGGAACCTGCGGATGTTGACACTGTGCTGGGAGGTCCTCACCTGAATGAGCTCCATCTCATGTTTATTACTGTCAGCCCATAGATAAAGGAGAACTGCGGAGTCGTGTTTACCAGCCAAACCCAAACCAGTTCACCCCAGCTAGGACGCTGCTGTCTGCAAACCGGCTTGCTGGCACTTGTGCAAAGGAGGCATCCCCGAGCCCTGCGTGGCACTGGGGCAGAGGCTCGGCTGGGCACTGAGACTTGCGTAAGCACGGCCAGGTTTGCTCACGCACTGCCTGGCTCCCAGCCACCTTTCCCTGCCAGCCTGGAGGGTCAACGTGCACCGGTGCCCGGGACGCACGCGTCCCAGCTGGCACATCCCTGCGGAGGGATGGGGACCCGCTCCTGGCTGGTTCTAGGAGCCACCCTCACTTCACAGCTGCGTCCTGCACAAGCCAGCCTTGCGCTGGCTGGGGCTGTTGGCAGGGGGTCCCGGAGCAGCGTGGATGGAGCTGTGCTCCTTGGCAGGGGGTCCCGGAGCAGCGTGGATGGAGCTGTGCTCCTTGCCGGGGCCAAGCGCCCCGGCTGCGGCTCTGCGGGGCCGCGGCGCTGTGCGGTGCGCTGCCGGCGCTGCGGCGGTGCGAGAGAGCCCTCTGCCTGCCTCCCGCAGCCCGGCAGCCCCGGCCCCGCTCGGACACCCCGCTCCCTGCCTCCGGCACCTCCTCCCGGCTGCTGGCGCTGCCCTCAGGGTCCCCCCGCAGCCATTTCATCGCGGGGCTGGACGCGCTCCGTCCCGAAGCATCATCTCCTCTGCGGACCCTCACCAGCCTCGGTGGCCTTTGCCCAGGCTCACCCCGAACGCCCTTCAGCTTCCAGGGACACAAAATCAGCGCAGGTGTTTTAGGCACAATTGCACGGTGTCGCCTAACAGGGAACAATCGCTCCCCCCGAGCTAAACGAAAAACAAAAAGCAATCCTCATCAAGCTGACAGGCTCAGTTTCCCGAAGGAATACAATTAAATCTTTAAATGGCAACGTGACCGTCAGCTCTTCCCCATCTCAAAAGATGCTTCTCAAGCTGCGTTCGGCTGTTCCTCTCTTCCACCCCCTCCTCACAGTTTTCCTTCCCGCCGCGGAGTGCAACAGAGGCTGCGGCTTCGCAGCCAAAAAAAAGTGCGATTTGGAGAGCGCGGCGCGACGTTGTGAGTGGCAGAAGTGAAAAGGCAGAGAAGCAACTCCTGAAAGCCTGCCTTCTGCCGCGGCGGGTGTCAGCCTTGGCAAAACCCGAACTTCCAGAATTTTCTTGCAAAACTAAAAAAAAAAAAAAAAAAAAAAGGCAATTAGAGGACCTGTCGGATTTGGCTGCTGCTTTTCTTTCCCTTGTTCCCTCAAAATCAAAAAAGTTCTTTCTTTCGCTTAACAGCACAGTTGGTGCAATCTGGGATGTACTTGCCTGACAGTATATGGGGACGTGGTTTTGCTGCCTCAATTTGGGGTTCCCTGACACTGACAAGATGAGAAATGAATGCTGAATACCTTGATGTTGCTTCCCTTGGAAGACACATGCATGAATAAATTTTTTTTTTCTCCCCAAAAAGATTGGAAATCTATGGGTTCCCCTTATTTCCCCCATTTTGGAGGTGCTTTCCTTCTGCTGTGGGTTTGGAGAGACTCCATTAAAGAGGAGACACTAAGAGAGAGGAAGGGAGAGCACAGGAGTTTTGCTGCCCCACAGCCCAGAGCTGCAGGTGGAGCCGAGGCAAGGCTGTGGTGGAGCTGAGCATGATGCTGAGCATCCTTCTTGCTACCCTGTTCTTGTCCATGGTGGGTCTGGGTGGACCTCCAACCTGCTGCAGCAATTTCACCTCCTACAACAAGGGTAACAAACAATAAATATGATGGCTATTAATCATAACCCTCCCTCTCCATCCCCAATGGGTTATAGATGCAAAAAATGCTGCTGAGTCAGTTCAATATTCCCCCTGGTTCATTAAACCAGCATCCATTTGCCTGCAGATAAGACGGTCTGTCAGGGGAAGGGATGATGATAACTCATTTGTCACACTTGTTAAATGTAGAAAAGGCTGGCTTTGGGTCACTTCCAGTTTTGTGTCAGCTCTGTCTTTATCAGAAGAGCCCTGTGCCTGCATGCCAAGCAGGATGGCTCTCTCCTGTGTAGCACAGGAGATGGGGACCGTGGCATTGTCCCTGCAAGATTTCCTACAGTTGGGGGTGGTCTCTGAGTGCAAAAGCCCTTGCAATGTGGCTGACATGAGTCCCAGCTCATAGAAAGGAATGCACTCATTATTGCAAGGATGCCATTGGTCCCACAGGGGTCTAAACCTGCAGCTTGGAACCCCTGGCACTACACACAGGGTGACCCTGTCTGAGGTATCCCCCCAGCCCATCCAGCTGCTCTGGTGTTTGAGCTGAAAAGCTTGAGAGGTGTGATGGGGAAGGATACCAAGCCAAGGCCTCAGACACAGCCAATGTGAGCTTGGTGTGGGTAAGGGGGAGGGAAAAGGGGATACAACTTAATCTCTGTGCCTCTCCTAACCTCAGAGGATCCTGGGATGACTGGTCTGGGTCTTGCTTAAGGTAGCACTGTCCCAGTGGGGTAGAATTTGCCAGTTCAGGGTGGCTGCAATGTGAGTCATTTTGGCTGTACCCTCTTTGGGGTCATTGCCATCATGACAGGCCACCTCCTTCCTCAGCCTGGGAGGAGGACTGGCTATAGCCCCCACATATGTGAGGATGGAAATGCCAACAGCCATGAGCCCTCAGGTCTTGCTTCAGGGAAGGGAGCAAGAAGTAACCAAGAGAGGCTGGGAAGAGTATTGACCTCTGAATGTGTGGTCATAGAGCTGTTCATGGCTGAGATACTTTCAGGGCATCATACACGGCACTGCCAGCTGAAACTTCACTGCAAAACAGACCCCTGATCTGCTCTGGCGTGGAAATGCTCTTCAGTGACTGGGGAGCAGGCAGGACTGCAGGTCTTTCTGCACATAGCTCCCATGGTAAATGAAGCCTGGGACAGGATGAAGGTGTGGAGACCTGAGCAGGAATGAGGTGACATCTTAGGGAAGCATCTTCATGATCTGTCCCCACATCTCACTATGGCACATCCCTCACTAAGCACAGCCCAGAGACAGCCTGCTGATTAAACCATGCACTCAGCAGATGATGAAGTGTCCCATGACAGCCTGTCTGCATTCCCCATCTCTTGCTTCACCTCTGCTTTCAGGGTGGGTGCAAAGGTGGATCCTGATGCCTTCTCCCAGCTCCATGGCTGGTCTGCAGTGATTGGTGCCCCTTGGCATGAGGTCATCTTACAGCTGGAGAAAGATGAGGCAGCTGTGGCATATGAGATGAGATGGAGGGTCAGAGGGGCTGATAGGCTGTATTTTAGTCCTGGTCTTGTCATTCATTTATGGGTGTTTTCAAGTCAGGGTGTGTTGGTTTGCAGCATGACAGGCAGCTGCAGGCAGCTATTGGGCTCTGAGCTCCTGCCCGTTTCAGTGGCAAACACACGTCGTCTCCAAAATCCGGCTCTTCATAATGACCCTGGGAAGTGCTGCAGTAGCAGCAGGTTCAGACTGCGGCGATTTATTTCCCTCTTCAGCGCTGGTCCTAGCAGGGGAGGGGGCCCTGCCCGCTTGGCTGCCTTTGCCTGCTTGCCATAGATCTTCCATCCAGGAGCCACCGAGGTCTCTGCTCTTCAGTCTGGCTCTGTGCTCTCCTTCACAGCTGCCCGCGGCCCCGACCTGCAGCAGCATCCCTCACTCCTGCTGTAAATCTCTCCCGAGCAGCTGCTGGTGACATTAGCATTTTCTCTTGCCAGCCCACAGAGACCAGGAGACCAGCCCTGCTAAGGAAGGAATTAACCCAGCAGCATCACGTATCAGAGGTATCTTTTTATTGACTGTTTACAGAAATACAGTAGCACTCCAATTAGGTGGCTTAGGCGAGTTCTCCAGAAGGTGCCTTCCTTCTCAGCACTGCTGGGAGATCCTAAGGAGAAACCTGCCCTTTAACACTTTGGGGTTTCTCTGGAGGCTTTGGGGCTCCCCAGCATAAACTTCCTAACACCTTCAGCTCTCCAGGGGTTGGGAGTTGTTTGAACCAGTGGATGAAATTCAAGAGAAAAAAAAAGGAAAAGAAACCCCCACAAGCTGGGGGTGGTGGGGCAGTCTGAACACACCTGATATGTTGTAAGCCAGCCCTGCCATGATCCCCATCCATCACTGTATGTGTTTCCAGCTCCACAGGACCCCACTGCTTCCTAGAGCTCAGCTGTCTGCCACTAAGTGTGTGCAGCTCTGGGCTTTACACGCTCTTTTCACACAGCTTGTTGGCCATAAAACAAATATTTCTTCATCTATTTTTCTTCCTGTACATGTGTAAGAGCGAGACCCTTTCCTTCAGCTGTTCACATACCATTTCAGGGCAAGAAAGGTATGCTCAGCTGGGCTGATAAACTAATTTAACATTTATTTATATATTTAATTGAGATTTCTTTTTTTTTTTTGGCAATCAAGGTGTAGTGGTTGGCTTGTTTTGTGTGTCCTTGCTACAAGAAACTGCAGACACTTCTGGCATAGAGGCATTTTGGCGGCAGCAGCTGCTGTTGGCCTCACTCAGTAGTCAGTGAGAGGGTATCGCAGGAAGATGAAGATAAGGATGATACAGAAGGTGGCAAGGGCTGAGCTGGTGATGTTAAACAGCCGGGCTGTCTTGGCATCTTCAACTGCTCCATTTAAGTCATTGAGGAGTTTCTTATCCCGGACCTGAGACAAAAAGATAATTAAATAAAGTAATTGCAACATGTATGAAAGACATAGCTTGTTTCAAGCAACAGCCACAAAAACAAAACCCAGTGCACCTGTATGTGGTTACAGGTGCACTGTGAGGGCTGGGCTGGGCCTCGGTGTCTGAGCACTTGGGGTGCCATAAAACACCCTGAGGTGAGGTTTTCACCCTGTCTCTGCTATGGGTTGAGCTTGTGAAGCCAAGCACTGCAATACTTGTGGGCTGGAAATTCTTGGAAGCAGAGAAGAAAGAGTGACCCGTTGCTGTTACCAACCAGGCAAACCAGAGCCCCATGGTCCCTGGAGTGGGGCAGTGTCATTTGGAGCCTGAAGGTGCACAAGGGAACTGAGATGCCATTGTACATCCCAGGCACACAGGCACCAAAGCACACTTCCCACCGTGTCACAGCGCCCTGGCCCTGCAGTGCCAGGTTGGGCCCACCCAGCCCTCAAGGGAGAAGGCTGGCTGCAGTTTCGGTGTGCATCCCTGTGCCTCTCTCTGCACCAAGGGGCCGAGTGGGTGAAACCTGGCACGGCATCCTACTGCAGCTCCCGGGCTGTGCACGAGCCTCCAGCATATTAAGCAGCCCTGGGTTAATGAGTTCCCTTCCTTGTGCAGGTCTTATGCGGATTGTGTAGCATCTCTGCCACAGGCAGTTTTCCATTCTGACAGCACAGTCTGCTCCCTTCATTATCCCGCAGGCTTTATGGGACTTTATGGGCTTTCCTTGGGACAGCTCTGCGGTGGGCGATGATTGTGCATGTCCATGTCACCGGCCTGTCCCCACCTCTTGCAGGCCGCTAGTGGCGGTGCATGGCACTGCCAGCAGCAATGCCACTAGCGGGCATTACCGATGTACCGGCAACAGCATTACCAGGCAGCAGATGGCACTGCAAGGCAGCAGATGACACTGCCAGGCAGCAATGGCATTACCAGGCAGCATGTGGCATTACCAGGCAGTGGATGGCACTGCCAGGAAGCAGAAGGCATAGCCAGGCAGCACATGGCACTGTAAGGAAATGATGGCATTGCATGGCAGCAGATGGCACAGCCAGGCAGTGACAGCACAGCCAGGCAGGCAGTGATGGCACAGACAGGCAGCTGATGGCACTGTCCACCAGCAGCAGCTCTGCAGCTGGATCCCAGCACAGGAGGGGTCAGACTCCACTGCTTCCTAGCAGGGATATGTCCCTGTCCCCAGGCCGCCCCTTCAGCCAGCACTCAGCAGACTCAGGCAGCTGGAGCCACAAGGATGAACAAAAGGACCTGGACAAAAGGACCAGGACACTTGACCTCTCATCCATTTCGTATCCAAGCGGGGTGCCCAGGGTGTGGCAGGGTCTGCCCCACTGCCCTCTCTTGGGTGGGGGCTGTGGGGAGTGGGGCTGTGAGCCCTTGGCCTGCCCTGCTGCCAGCAGTGAGAGCCCCGCTGGGCACTGCTGGATGGACACCAGATGTGGGTGGCAAGCTGCAAAAACCAGCACCAGAGTCAGACCGAGGAATATTAAAAGGCTTTTATCGATTAGGAGCTTTCTGAAGACACTGCAACAGATTCAGACCACATCTTACAGACTTTTCTCTCTTCCTCCTGCAGTGCTTACCCACAGGGCTGTCCTGAAAGCCTTCTGCTGGACATGGGGAAGGGCTGCTGCACCCCTTGTCCTCACTGAGTTGTGCTGGTTCATAGGTCCTCCAAAACTGCATTTCAGACCCTCAAGCAACATTCCTCCTCTCCATCACACCACTGAGGACCTCTCTGCACAAGCAACCCCTGATCTTCTGAACTGTGGGTAGGGAAGCTGCTGTTGGCATGAGACCCACAGGATCTGGTGCTGGCAGGCACATAGGCAAGAATGAGCCCATTTTTCATACTTAAATCAAACTGTGCCATGTCCTCGGCCTCTGATGTGCCCTGCTCGTTGGAGCTGGAGCTGGAGCTGGGACCATTGCCCTGCTGTGGAGTGCTCAGCTCAGCATCCTTCTGGGATCGGGAAGAGGGGACAGTCACAAACTGTATGTGTCTTTGGGGCACACTTGGCTGGAGCTCTCAGCAGAGGAGATGATCTCTGGGAAGGCATCAAGCCGGCAGCTTGGGAGCCCACATGCCTTTCTGTGTCAGCTGAATGTCCGGGATGACTCACATTTGAAATTATTCAGTAAGTTCAACATCCTCCCAAAAACCCCTGGGCTCAGCAGCACCAGACATTTGGCACCTCCTCACGCACTGGTGAGAAGCCCCAGAGGTGCTGGATTCAGGCCAGAAATCCCGCTTGCTGCTCCCAGCAGACTCTTTGAAGCTCTCACACACTTTCCTCTTCCCAGCAGTGGGGCTGCCTCAGGCAAAACCGCCATGGAGCAAATGCCTTTTGCCCCCTCCTGCACTGTAACCCGGTGCCCTGTGCCGCAGACAAGCTGGCGTTTGCCGTCAGCGTTTGCCAGGCACACGGAGCTTTCTCCAGCAGACCGGCACGGCCGGCACGCCGAGCTCTGCAACCCTCCCGCAGCCAAGGCGCTTCACCTTCGTGAGGCCAGTTCCTCTTGGCCCCAGGAGCTGTCTCCTACTCCTCACCTCCTGTTCCTCCTCTCCCTGGGGCGCCCTACAACCCTAATTTCCCTGCTCAGCCTTCTCCAGTGCTCCCAGCAGCCTCTCCCAGCAGCATCTCCCACCTGGCACCAGCTCACACTCGTGACTGGTGCTTTAGCCCTTTCCCACGACACACTTCAGCAGCACCTCTCCCTGACTTTCCCATGGCTCTCCCTTTGGCCCTGCTCCTGTCATGCTGCTGCTGCTGTGGTGAGGGGTGCCTGGGGCTGCCCTCTCCCCAGTGACACCATTTCCCCACAGTTCCTTTTTTTTACCCCTTCCATCTCTTCTCTTTCCTGTTGTTTGAGTCCAAATGATGGCCGCCTTTGACTCCTACCAAAGGGCACCCAGCTGCCTCCTCTCCCTGCACCTCCAGCTGGTTCCACCCACACACTCCTGCTAATCCCTGTGGCTTCAGTGGTCACCCTCATGAAAATCATCCCTGATTGCCCATAATCATTTACACTGAAATGGAGCCTCTAAGCACCAGACAAGTGCAAGGGCCCCCATGGCAAAAAAGTGCAATGAAAAGGAGTTTCTCCTTACACACCACTCACAGCTCCAGCCTCTCACATCTCTCCAGAGCAGCCTCGCCTCCTCCTGCATGGCTTTGCACCCCCAGATGCTTCCAGATATCTCCCTTTAATGTCCTGCTGTGGCAACTGAGCCAGGCTCTGGAGGAGCTCTCCTGGAGAGCAGATAAGTGGTCTCCCTTTAATGTCCTGCTGTGGCAAGGCTCCTCCAGCCAGGCTCTGGAGGAGCTCTCCTGGAGAGCAGATAAGTGTTTCAGCTCCTTCCCAGCTTTGTCCTTAAGGAGATGCTGGTGTCTTTCTTAGAGCCCAGATTCAGCTTTTCCTATTTTCATGCTCCTGTGGCCACCATCATCATAATGTGCTGGCAGCTGGTGCACGAGCTTCTGGGAGCCCTGGAAGCTGATTCTTTCCATAGCCAGAGAGATGAAGCATAGTGAGGGACAGGTCCTCAAGGTCAAACGGCTGAACCCCCACCCCAGACCAAGGTGTGGTGTTTTCTTAGCCACAGGCTCCTCTCATCATCCCTTTGACCCTTCTCACCTTGCCTAAAACTAGATGGGGACTGTTGGCCCTGCTTTGCACTGAGATGACTGGAGTGTGAGGATAGTTACACCTGCTGACTGGGGTTTCCCTGGGCACCTCTAAGCACTATGTGGTGGCATCTTCGGAAATCCCCCCTTGGACAAGGCAGAACTCACCTCTGATCCAGGCTGGCAACTTACACAATTTCCTTCTTCTTCCATACCTATCCTTACATGAAATACAGCCAGCTTTTGTGCTCTAACATGCAAACCTTTCTCCTCTCCTTTCCCACCAACAAAAGGTGGTGTGACCTTTCCATCCATCCATCCATCCATCCATCCATCCATCCATCCATCCATCCATCCATCCCTACTTGCCTGTCACCTCCCTGCTGCTCACCTTGTCTTCCAATATCTCCATCTCACTATGTCCTCCCACACCTCCAGCGTGTCAGTGCCCAAGGGTTCTTTCTCTCCTCCCTCTCATCACCATCCTCTGCCCTTTGTTTCCTTGGGTTTTTATGTTCTGCTTCCTTTCCAAGTGCTCCCCTTGGCTCCTACCACCCCAGTCCCTCCCGCAGCAGTCACCTCCCCTCTCTCTGCCCTGAGGCTCAGCCCCTCATGTTTTTGGGAGCAGCAAACTTGCTGCTCTAGTAAAAAGTGCTGCCTCAGCTTGCAGAAGGAGACAAATGGTTTGTTGATAACGAGTCTAATGAGGCTGTTTTTAAGGCAGCCTGGAAGTCCACAGCTGGCTGTCAGTAAACCCATTTCTATGCAGAGCTCCATGTCCCTGCACAGAAGGAGCTCTGGAGGCGATCCTTGGATTTATTTGCTCTGTGAATTGCTCAAGAGCTCTCCAGCCCACGTGCCTCCACCACACCGGCACTGGCATCACGGGACTGTCACCCCTGCATTTCACCCACGTCCATAAACCACTGCTCCTTCCGAAAAGCAGGAGGAGAGCCTGCCTGAGAGGCTGGGTGCGGCAGCTTCTCAGGGTTAATAAATAGCTGTGGATTTGTGCTGGTCTGCTTCCACTCGAAACAAGGAAGAACAACAAGTGGCAAGAGAGGAGGGCAAACAATCGTGCCCACAGTTGTGTGCTAAGGGCTGGGCAGAGAGTGGGCAAGAGAGCTTGGCATATTTCCATGACCTCAAGGGGCAAGAAAACTCTGCAAGCAATGCTGTGGGCTGCTGGTGAGGCTTAAAAAGCCAGCAAGGCTCCTTGGCATCTTCATCTGTACAGAGCTACAGCGAGACATCCATACTGCGGCTCATCTCAGATCCCAGCTCCTCTGATCTACTGCCTCATGGCACAATGGGTACAGAGCACTTGGCTCACCCCAACAGTCTCCAGAGACTGAACAACTGAAGTGAGATCTCCTGCCACCAGGCACTGATGCATCATTCATTACCACTTGGAGCTGGGAAAGGGGAAGGGAGGGAGCTGCTGAATATCAGACCACAACATTTGCTTCTGATCAAAATCAACTGAATCCAAAGCACTGCTGTTGGAGTGATACTTTTATCTGTGCTGGGCTGGGGTAAGGGTTACTTTAGGGTTTTTCTAACTTCCCTGGTCCTGCTGTTGATCTCTTCTCCCCCAGCGTCCTGCACACACGATTAGATGCAAGTGCCTTGCTTGCACTCTGGGAGGCTGACCTTGAGAAGCCTGACATGCTAGAAATGACCCCTGGAGGGATCCATGAGTTGTGTGACCCCGTTGTAGCCCAGCAAGCTGTGTTTGCTGAGGATCTGGCCTGCTATGGGGGTAAATAAAGATGAGGCAGGCTGCCACACTCCTGTTCAGACTCCTTGGCAGTGACTCCCGTCACACACAGAACCTGCCTTGTATGTCACAGTTTCTGCCCTCACCTGGTTTCATCTGTTTCTTTCCTCACAAATTCTTTGGTGCTGGGGTGGGGGTTTTTGACAGTTTTTAGTAGATAGTTCTCACCACGAAATAGCATTTCCCTGCAGAAAGAAATCTAGAAGGCTGTAGCTGGCATGCAAAAGGCCAGGCAGACATGCCCGTTTTCCCAGATGTGGCTGAAACCAATAAAATGGGCCACGAGGAAGGAGACAGCTTCACAGTAATATTCAAGTGTACCAAGGATATATCTGTCTTCCAGTGTGGGCATTATGCTGCTGAAACCAGAGGAAATGCTAGGGTGTGCTAAGATACACACTGAAACTTCTCATGGACTTGGGTCACGAAGGAGATACTGCTTTATTAACAGCATGAATCTGTCAGAAGCAGGTGACCTTTATGACAGGGAATTGAAAATGCTATTTCTGATAATGAAAATGACAACTCCTGAAGTTGCTAGATATTTCAGTTATTTAAAGGAAGTGTAAAAGCTGTAACCCAGGAGCCACTTAACATCAGAGCACTGATGGCTCTTGAGGGAACCTGTGTTCCACTGTCTGAGGGCTCTGCTGTCAGGGGTCCCAGAAGAAGCTCAGAGAGAGGAAGGTGCAGCTTCATTCTTCTTCCTACTGCCCCTTACTCAGTCCCTTCAGGGTACAGACAGCCTAGAAAGGCCAGACTTAAGTGCCTACTGCTCAAATCTCCTTACACTTAATTGCAGAGGAACAAGAGAAGTCTGTTTAAAGGAATATCTGTCCCCAGTGCATTTCTTGCTCCTGTTTTCTCTGAACTTCTGGGAAAAACATTATTGATGGTAAAAGAGAAGAAAACATGTTTCTGGAGAAATAACCATAACACCCAGCCTGCCTAGGGTGTTGTGAAGATCCCTGCAGTAGCTGGGTAAGGAACACAGCTGCCTTTCTGAACATCCCAGGCTTCCCCAGGACAGACCTGCTACTGCCCCAGCATCTGCATTGCCTCTCACCACCCACCCCAACAGCAGCTCATCTGAGCACTGCTTCAGCCACTTGCTAGCTCTGTCCTCTGCCTCTGAGGGACATTTTGTTTCTATTTTCCCCCTGCCACAGAGTCACAGCCACTGGGGAGCTCCAAAACCAGAGCAGAGTTATTTCTACCCGCTCAGCGTTACCTCTGTTTGGGTACCGCGGTTACATCCCATCAGCCACCGCCTTCTCAGCCCGAAAGCCAAGGCTGGTTTTTGACAGCCATCTTCCTTTCTCCTTTCTCTAATTTGGAGAAAATTTGCCCATTTGCCTTCCCTCACCACTGCCTCTTTTTTTTTTCATGCTTGAGTTTGTGTCCTCTAGGTCTTTGCAGACAGATGTTGAGCCCACGCCTCTGTCCCGGTGCAAGGCCCCAGGTTATTTCTGGGCTTTGCCTTTCCTTCCACCCCATGCCAAGGATAGTGAAGGGTCCAGCCTCTAAAAACTCTGTGGGTGGCAGACACTACTCTACCTTGTCACCAGGAGATGGGTCAGCCCTGTTCTCAGGCTGTCCTGCCCTCACTGCTGCAGCAGCAAGGAAACACATGTACCCAGATACCCATGGTAGCCTCTTCCATGGGAAAAGTGTCAATTGTTCAAGGCAAATACAGACAAGGAAAGGCTTAAAAAAACAAGGAGGAAGCCAGATTTTTCTTCTCTTGCTGGACCAAGGTGTGGGGGGTGTTAAGGAACTTGCTCCCCCCACTCATACTAGCCTGCTGCTGACTGGATTTGCCCTTTGCTTGTGGTGATGCTTCGCCCCAGGATGATTTAAGTTATTAAGTGCCTCACCCAGGCAGCCGCAGAGCCTCCTGCATGGGCAATGGATGAGAGCTCACCTCCCATCTTGAGGAATGAGAAACTGAGGCAGGCACCACCAGGCTGTGCTCGGTGAGCCCAAGACAGGGGGCCACAGACTTGTCCCTGAGCCTTTCTGATGGAGACCCTGGCAGTGCTGGGAGCAGCCTCCTTGCAGTGCTGGGTGCTCACAGTCCAGCTCACAGGAGCTGTATGGGGTTAATTGATCTGCTTCTGTGACGAAGCCTGTCTGCACCCTGGCCTTCCTCTAAATGCTGCCTGCCAAAACAAATCAGCCAGCTCCTCTCCGGGCCACCCAGCCGCCCCGGGCTCTCTGCACATCCATTCAGTTAGTTTTGCATCTGGCAGGCAGGGAAGGGGAGGGCAGCCCAGGCCCCTCTCTCCTGGCAGCTGCCAAGGTGCTGCCTGTTTGCCAGGCACCATCCCTGCCGGGCTGCTCTCCCCTGCAGCCATCAGGAATAATAACCTGGTCCCATTCCCATCATGGGCTGTGCTCCACGCCATCACCCTCTCCAACAACAGATCTCTATCCCCCCAGCCTGACACTGTGGGAAGCCCCCTGCACTCTCTTCCATCTTCTCACCATTCCCATGATGCTGGCAGGTCTCCAGGCCTTCTTTTGGGATTTACAGGGCTTGGGGTGGGGGAAGCTAGGCACGAGCTCTAGTGTTTTAATTACGGAGAGGGCAAGAAAGAAACAGGCAGGATTGCCCTGCACTTTGTAAGCTTCTTACCCCTGCAACTCGCCAGCTGATGGCTGATCCTGGCTGGCTGCTTCTTACTGTTCCTGCCTGACCATCCAGTGCTGCTGGGTCCTATCCTGAAGATCTCTAACAGCCAGGATCCCAAATAACAGACCTAGTGCCGGCGTGCCTGCAGGTGCAGCATGAGCCAAAGCAGCCCTGTGTTGCCTGCCTGTCACCCTGCCGCCGCGGTACAGAGGAGCCTCTGAGGGTACTTGGAGCAAGTGAAAGCATCTCTTCCCCACCTGAAGTAACATCCCAGGCTCCTCAGCTCTTCCCATCCCCATCCCCATCCCCATCCCCATCCCCATCCCCATCCCCATTGTCTGCAGCCTCTCATTCGGATGGCAAAGTGGGGTTTCACATCAGGCACAGCCACCAAACGCTTCCCCGCTGCCTGGCCACCCCCTTCCCCGAGCCCGGTGCTCAGTACTCACTTTCAGTGAATAGGCCAAGGCGATGAAGCCGAGGCAGCAGAAGTTGAGGTATACAAAGTTGAAGATGGACCAGAGATAATAGTCGTTCACCTCGGTGGTGTCGGGGTAGATTTCAATGACAGTGGTGGGGTTGGTCATCGTCTTCTTCTCCACCGAGTGCTTGCACGGGACCGCTGGCCGCAGGCTGTCCCCTTTGCAGCTCTTGCTCTCCATGAGATAAACGGCAGAAGAAGGAGACAGGACGGGCGAAGCTTGCCGGAGAGCTGGGGGCTTGGCGATGCAGGCGAAGCAGCCCTGCGGGGCGCCTTGCGGGGGTCTCGGGGTCCAGGCCACCCCCTCAAAGGGGCATGGCGGGCCCAAGGGGGGGTCCTGTGTCCTCTCCGTGGTGGCTGCCGCGGCGTCACCGCGCTCTGCCCTGGCAAAGCGAAAAGCCCCCCCGTCAAAAATGGGGGTGAGGGGATGGAAAGGCCGGGGGCAGGGGGAAAAGAGAAAGGGGGGAAGGAGCAGAGAAGGGGAGAGGCGGGGGGAAGGCAGGAGAGACAGAGAGGGACCGGGAGACCGGGGAGAGAGCAGGGAGAGGAGTGAGGGAGTGGGCAGAGGAGAGAGGGAGGAGAGTAGGGCAGGAGGAGAGGGAGGAGGGAGCACCGCTACACCCGGGGAGCACGCCGCCGCCGCCGCCGCCTCGGCGCGGAGCTGCCGCCGGCCCCGGCCCCGCGGCGGGGGGCGGGCAGCCTCCCTCCCCCTGCCACGGCCTCCCCCGCCGCTGCCCGCTGCCTGCGTGACCCGCCTTCCAGCCACCACTGGGGAAATAATCTTTTTTTTTTTTAAAAGGAGACAAATAAAAGCAGAAAGAAACACTTGGGAGGCGCCGGGGGCTGCGAGGGAGTTGGCAGCCGGCCGCGCTGCAGCCCCCCGCAGCCCTCCCCGCCCGCCTCTCTGTCGGTCTGTCCGGGCCTTCTCCTTTCTGTCCCATGCCGGGATGGGAGCCGGTGCCTCGGCTGCGGGCGGAGCGGGTCTCCCGGTGCGGCAGGGCAGCCCGCCCCTCCGCCCTGCCTCCCTCCCTCCCTCCTTCCTTAGGGGGGTGGGTTTTTTTGGGGGGTGGGGGGGGGAATTTATTATTTTTTCCCTGAGTCCTAGTCTTTACGGTGATTCCATTTCCCGGTTCCTTCCACCTGCCAGCAGGTTTCCTATACCCCCCTCCCTCCACATTTTTTTTTTTTTTTTTTTTTTTAAGGGTATCGTGGCTGAGGAGGTGGAGGAGGAGGAGGAGGGGAAGATGGGATGAAGACAGAGGATGGGGAAGGGGACATTAGAAGAAGTTCCCCTCCACCCTAGCTTTTCAAATAGGAGAGACTAGTCCACCTCTGGCTGCCTGTCCGTCCGTCCATCGGTCTCCTCCGAAGGCATCGGGAGGAGCGAGGGATACTCACAAGGAGGGATGCGGGGAGTCGCTGCATATCCGGCTCAGCACTGCCTCCGGCTCGGCTTCCTCGGCGCTGGAGTTGAAGGAGGAGGGGAGGGCGGGGAGGGGGGCACCCATGGACTAGGGATGGGCAGGGAGGGAGTTACGGGATGGGAAGGTCAACCTGCAGCCCCCTGTCTCCCCCCGAACATGCTTCACGCAGGAGAGCTCCTCTGTGTCTCAGTCCTTCTCCTCGTGTCCCCCCCACTGGGACGTCACCTCCTGCTTGGAGCATCCTGGTAGCGCCCCGCTGGAGAAGGGCATCTCCTGGGCCCCGGCCCAGCGGCTTCCCCGAGCAGCAGAAGGGGATGCTCGGCCCTGCTCTCCCCAGTGTCACCCACAGAGACATTTGCAGCGGGGACTCACTGCAGCCCTGTTTGCGAGTTCACCGCTATGGACCTGGGTGAAAAACTGAAATAAGCGCGGCAGGAGTGTGTGGGGACGACCGGAATTAACAAGGGGAGGTGGTGGTGATGCAATGCTGTGGGGAAAAACGGGCTCTGGTCGTCAGGGGATGAATGGAAGGGGCATAAATCCTGTGTGTGAGGTAACAGATCCTGCTGGCATGGAGCAAATCCCAGCGCAGGCAGGGGTGGGAGCACGCCGGCAGCAGGATGCACGGCATGTGGCTGCTTTAGGGGACGGGGGTGGGGGTGTCACAAAGGCTGTTCAAGCCCGGGAGGGTTTGGCTGTGCCCAGGCTTAGCACAGGATCAGGGATGTGCTTGCTGCCTCCCCTTGCTAGCACTCTGGAAGCTGCACGGAATCCCAGCTCTAGGGTGCTGCGGTAGAGTTCCCCCAGGGACGTGATGATGGAGAGCAGCTGGTGCCGTGCAGGGACAGCTTGCAGGTCATTCAGGAGGATGCACAGGGAGGGTGAGGACACAAGGACACGCCGTGTCACCCCTCAGTGACATAGCCTGGCGCAGGTGGCCTTGTTGCAGCAGGCAGTTCAGCTGCGGCACTGGGGAAGGGGAGCAGAGAAATCCCCAGAATACTGGAAACGGGGTGGGTAAAACAAAAGTTCATGTGAGCAGAAACTGCAAGGGAAGGGAAATCCTCTGGAAAAGCCTTAAGCCTACCCACAAAGTGCTGAGCTAAGAAATAAGGATGGTAATTCACTCAGCTCTTCACAGGCAGGTTTGGCTCCAGTGTAGGGGCACTCACCCTGTGCTCATCCCTGTGGTTCATCCCTGATGTGGGGGAACTTCTTGCACATCTACAGGTCTCTGAGACTGAGGAGGTCCAGTTTCCATGAGACCAACTTAATCCTGCTGCAGCCTGCATTGGTTAAAAAAGGACAAATTGCCCTCTGGTTCAGGATTTATCGCTGCTGGAGTGGTGTTGTGTCCTGCCAAAGTAAAGAAGGTTTTATTAGTGCTACGGCTGCCTGTGATGAGATCCAGATCTCTCTCCAAGAAGCTGCTAAGAGACAGAGGCAGTGCTAGGGTGAGAGTGATGCTCCTATGGGATTAAGAGGTTTGCAGGAGAGGCAGAGCCATGGCCAGCTGTCGTCAGCTTTTCTAGAGGGCTCGGACAAACTCAGCTGTGCAGAGCATCCTCCCTGCAGGCTCAGGAGGAACAATGAAACCCTGTGGATGCAGACTGGAGCTGCTGATGAGCCTGCTGTTTGTTTGTCTGGGGAAAGTTGTGTGGGTAAAGCTGCTCCTCTTCTTAATGTCAGGCAGGGATGGAGGGTGAGCAGAGAAAAAGGTCAGAGGAGGTTTGGAGCAGGCAAGAGGAGGCAGCAGGGTGGTGTAGGGGAATGAGATCAACAGACAGTCACATTCCCTGGTATGAATAGGACTGAAAGGTCAGGGAGGTTGAACGGCTCCTTTTCCTCTTCTCCAGGTACCAGGACATCCCTACAGTTTGCAGAGTACTTTTTGGTCTTTGGGTGAGTGATTCATCATCTTCCTCAGTGTTAAGTGTGAGTAGTGAGAATTTTATTATGTGGATCACAGTGGCACCTATGCAGCATCACTGGTTCAACAACCATTCATGTGACCCCAGGGAACTGACATAAAAATTTGAAGGAATAAAACCCCTCAATATTCTACATTATTTTAACCCTCCTTCTATTTTCTGGGCATCTTCAAAGGTCATGCACACCCTCAACCGTATGGTCTAGGACCACTTTCCTTTCAAATAAAAGGTGGGGTGGGTATGAATAATCGCCTGCATTACTGTGGCATCAAGGCTGGCCTCCCCTTGTGCTAAGCACGGGACAAACAGAACAGAAGGATGCTTGCTGCCCCAAAGTAATTCTCCCCTAATCACGTTAGAGACACGTGGGCTGTAGCATAATCAAGTGCTGTAAGACCTGTGAGAAAACCTTCTGCTCAAATCCCACTCGGGCTCTTCAGAAACCATTAGCAGAACCTGACCCTGCTTTTTTTTTTTTATTTCTGAATTACAAAGTCCACAGCCTCCCGAATGCTCCTTTCCTATTACCCCTATAAAATTGCTCCGTGGATTGCTATGTTCCATAAGCAGTAAGGCAGCCTGAGAATGGGAGGGGTAAATCCAAGCTTCCCACTCTCCCTTGATCTCTGTCTCCTGTTCTTTGAGCTTTCATTCTGCACTCTGCTTCTCTTCCCTCCCAAAGAAACCTAAAAATAAATAAATCCAAGAAAGAGCGGAAAAAGGAAAAGCCATCAGCCCCCAAAACGATGTGCTTAGTCATTCATGGTGAGTAAAAATAGTTTCCCAAATGAACAAATTGCTGAGCCAACCAGATGAGCAAGTCATCTCCATAAATGAGGGGTCTCATCTTCCCTCTCCTTGGGCAGGAGAAGGAAGCCATTGTGTTAATGGGCTTTTGCTAAAGCCCTAAGCAGAATTGGAGAAGGATCTGGTCCATGAAGACAGCCCTGGGGGTCATTGCCAAGCGCCCTACTACTTAAGGGAACATGTAATGAAAAATTTGGGGTTTTTTTTGCATCAACGGAGACATTTAATGAAGAGCTAAATTGTCATGTGCATGGAGTTCTGTAGAGATGGCGCAGTAAGCAGGGGGCTGAAGTAAACCTGAGGACTTTCTGGGCAAGATAGTGTGGGTCTGCATTCAAACTGCTCCTAGGGCAGGGTGTGCGCTTTGCTCCCTGCTGGAAAAGCATGGGTGGGCAATTCTGGCTCTTGGCTTCTGCTGCTCTTGGCCAAGATCAAGGCTGTGATTGCTCCCACTGGGATGTAATGTTCAGTACACAAGGCACAACTGAAGACTTAGGCAGAATCCCCCCAGCAGAAATAGGGCCCTCATATTCCTGTCAATAAATATTTGGCAGCAGATAACTTAGCCCTTGGGCTATTGAGGAACAGTGGGCTGTATGATTGGTTTTCAGGACCTAGCCAGCCCTTTTGGGTTAAATCCATCTCTTTAACATAGGGGAACAGCTGATTGGGGAATTTAGGCATCCTGGGGGAACAGAGGCTGAGGACATGCCAGCAGGGAAATCAGCTAAGCTGTTTGCTCAGATCTGCGCTCAGAAGATGGGATGGGACTTGGCTGCATCCATCTTGCTTATGCAGATGATGCTGTTTTCAAAGTAGGGATTAGCTCTTATCTTCCACCTGGCACATGGGTCCTTCATTCCGCTTCAGAGTCTCCAGCTCCCATACGGCAGTGCTGGGACGAAAAATTACACAGCTAGGCAAGAGGGATGGACTTTTCCTACATTGCTGAAAAAACCCTACACCATGTTCATCACTGGGCTACAAGACTTCCCCAGACTTCATACCTTAGTTGATTTTAGGCCAAACTTAGAAACTGAAGTTTTACTTTGGCTGCTACAGGACCACTCCAAATCCTCAGCAGGAACTTGTTCTAATCCTAAGCAGGAGCTTGTTCTAACAGGTCCAGATGATCAGGGGACAGCTTGAGTTCCCTGTTAATGGACTACCCTTGGCAATACTCAGCTGGGGAGGTGTGGCCCCAGGAGAAGGCTGTAGGCTAGCAGGGATGCTGGGAGCGCCCGCTGCCCCAGTGGTGCTGGGTCAGGCAGGTGGCACTGTCCTGTCACCTTGCAGAGGCTGAGTTGTTTTAATCCATTGAAAAAGACAAATCCAACAGGGTCCTAGCATGTTTCCTTATCAGAGAGAAGGGGAGGAGCCCTTCTGAAACACACAGGAGTCCACCCAAGAGTGTGACCAGATGTCCAGGGACAACAGGTCAGGGAGACACTCTGCACACCCACAAAGTTTGGCATCTCAAACTGCAAAAGGAATGACCACTCTCAGAATTAATGGGGAAAATACTGTATTTTCTTTTCAATTTTCTATGAAGAGACAATTAATTCTGACAGCAAAATAATTTTAAAAAACCAGTCACACGATTAGAGATGGGTTTAAAAATGCAAATAACAGAACAGGGGGAGGAGACCTATTCAGGGAAGACTGCAGTGAACTGGTCCTCCAGCCTATCCTACAGTGTGTCACTCAGGGCATCACTCTGGGCCATGCTTTCCCAGGCAGCTGCCTCCTGCCTGCTGACAGACCCTGGAGTCCCACCTGGAGTCACTGTGCTGGGACACACAGGCAGCGGGAGGCAGCGCACGCCCAGCACAGCCACGGCCCAAGGGCTCCATCTGAGGCTGTGCTGCACATCCCACTTCGATGCTGAAAATGTTCAAAAGCCACTGCCAGGTCCGTGTCAAGCTTCCACCTCACATCAGGTCTGGTCAGCAGGTACCCAAGAGGCCAACTCTGTCTTCCCATGCTGAAGAAATCCTGCAGCTGGGAAATGATGTAGCACAACTTGGAGGAGCTGGGGGAACTTAACTGGTGTGAAATTGAAGGTCTCTGGAGAGGTGCTGAATATTTGCTAATTTTGGAGCAGCTAGTGAAGATTTTTTTTTTTTTTGGTAACATGCTACTGCTCTCTGGCCAGTCTAAAACAGATGTCCTTTGGTGTCCAGATGCAGAGCTCCAGGTGAAGATTATGAGGAGGCAGAAGCAAGCTTTGGGGAGCAGCACTTGTCACATCTGGGGTTGCAGGGGACAATGCATGTGTCCCATGTGTGCCTACGCCTGTCCCCACTGTCCATGCCAGACCCCTCCAAGGTGAAGCATGGTTATAATGCCAAGCTTATTCCATTAGGCAAAACTGTCTATTCTTTCACTGCCCAAAGACCTTTCTCAAAAAATTTCTTGGCCCCACTGCTACTGCTGGCAGGATTATCAGTGAATTGTGGGTAGCCAGGATTTTGCCATCTGTTTAACCTGGTTTGAGGTCATGGCCGCCACTGATCTTATCTTTTTGCCACTCCAAGCTTTGTTCCTTATCTGCTGCCACTCCCTTAACTTCAGGAACTGATCCAGCACACTGGGAAAATGAAGAGAGTCTTTTACTCCCAGCACAAGGCCTGGGATTCTTGGCAGGCTCTCTTCTGCTTTCCAGTACTGCTTAAAACTAGTTTTATCATCCTCCCAGCTCCACCAGTGTTTGCCTACCAGTGCCAGCCCAGCAAGTGGCTCCACATGTGCAGATCCCGGCTCTCTGGGAGGATCTGTGTGCACAGCTAAATCAGCTAAATCTGAAGCAGGATTGTGCCTCACTCTCTGCAACACAGCTGGACATGAACAGACCTCACCAGTGTTAGTGAAGTGGAAAGCAGGAACAGAGGGTGTTAAAAGCAGCTGGATTTTGGGACAGGGCAGCAGGGAAAGTGAATGTAAGTCCAGCAGCTGCCATGGCATCCTCCTGCCCAGGAGGTTTGCTGGCTCTGCCAACTGTCTCTTGAGTTTTGGGCAGTTCAAAATGCTGTGAATCATGTTTCCAAAAGCTCTTATGTGGCTGACAAACAAAGATTTTACCAGTATGATTTCAGCTTGTTTCACTTAGTTGCTTCAGGAAACATTATTCTCAACTCGCTGGCTGTGGTTGAAACTGGGAAGATTTGGTGTTTGGGGAACCTGGGAGAAGGTCACTAAACTCAAGAGAACTTGTGCCACATGACTTTGCTCAGCAGAAGGCTGGACCTTCATGGCCCTGAATTCAAGTAACCTCTATTATAACCTATCTTGACCCCCTTAATATTCATACTGACTGAAAAGTCCCACTGTCTAGAGCCCCCCTACAAACCCATGTCCCATTATGTCGGGGATGTGGACCATGCCTCCCAGCCCTCTCACTAATGCCATCACTAAGCAAAACACACCACCACAGCCCTTAGGCTCTGAAACTCATCCTCTGGGCACGTTACCGTGCTTCCCCATCACTGCACTCAGGACATGCTCTCCTAGGACCAAACCAGCACAAACTCCTTGAGAAATGACCTCCTGGTTACTGCTTCAACCTGCCACGGAGGGGTCACAAAGACAGATTCTCCCAGGCCATTCACTCCCCTACTTCAGGAGTGAAAAAGCAGTAAGAACTAATGTGCAGGACAGCCCTCCCTTGTCCCTCTCCCCCAGCACAGAAGACCAAACCCAAGAGCAGTAGCACAGCCTCTCTGCACAAACAGATGTGCCAGGGGCTGGCTTCAGCCAGCTGCCTCCCCCCACCCTCCAGGAAGGACACCAGTGCTGGGAGATGTGAGAGGGCCTTGTTCAGCTCTGAGAATCATTCTCAAAAAGAACTACTGGAAGACCTAGCAGTAAAGCAAGGGACTACTCCAGCTGGAGTTGTCAGCTAGAGACCTCCCAGGACCACTTACTCAGAGTGGAAAAAGTAGCTAGCAGGGCACTAATAACTATTTCCCATGTAATTTTAAATCTAGTTCCATTTCTTTTTCCTTTTTTTTTTTTCTTTTCTCCTTTCCACTCACTGGATTTCTAATACTGGTAACCTTTCTCTACAGCTCCCGTGTGTGTGTGTTTTAAGTGTGTGTGTGGCAGAGGCAGTGGGGGGCAGCTCTTTAGGCACTTGTGGCAAAGCCAACGCGGTTGTTATCACGGTCAAAGGCAGAGTAGTAGGGTCCAATAAAGACATCTCCCAGGATCCAGAGAGGGCCCCCAGGGGGTGGGATGTCCAGGCCTGAAAAGCCACTCATGCAGATAGTCTCTCCTTGTGCACCAATCTAGAAAAAAGAGTGAGAGCTTCAATTTAAGCAGGCCGTTTCCTTTCCTCAACCTTGCAGGCTTGGCAAGAACACCTGCAAGGCTGCCTTTGCTTCAGCCTCTCCCAAACTGAGATCCACAGATTGCAAAAGTGACTCCCAACCCACTGCTTCTATGACTGCAAACCCAGCTCCCCCTCCCTTAAGCACTAAAGCATCAAGCAAAGCTGCACATGGCCACAAACCTCCCAGCCCACACAGCTCTGAATTAGAGCCATTGGTGAAGGTCTGCACAAGATGGTCCTTGCAAGTTGATTCTGATGGCTTAAATGACAGGCTGGTGGCCCCTGCTATAATAAGGCTGGCCTCATGGCACCAGAATACAGCAGAAAAGAGCTAAATGTTTGTTGAAGTGATGCAACAGCTTGCCTCACCTTCCTTAAACACCCTGCTATCCCTCACGAGCACTATGCATGGGGTCTTATTTCTGTGAGACTTTGATGAGGTTACCTGGATCCATCTGCAGTGCCACCTCCCTGACACCCCAACCTTTTAGATTTCTTCTTGAGCACCAGCTCCAGCACTGATTTGGCTGCTCTTGTGTTTTGTTGTAGTGGAAGCAAAAGCCAGGCCTTGGGGAAGAAGCATAAGGCTGGATAAATCTGCCTGGACATACCTTGAGGATATACTGGTCTCCTGTGAGGCTGAAGGACTTCCCTCCTAGTTTCATTGAGACGACAGGCAGCGTCAGCACTTTTTCACAGGGGACCATGTACTGAAATTCCAACAGTAAAGGCTTTAGATTGGACCTCCCACACTCTCCCACAGTCTTCCTTGAGCACAGTCATATCTTTGCTGTGGTTTTCATTAAACCAGCTCAGCTCAGACTGCAGAAGCTCGCCCTGGGATAAGCAGGCTGCTCCCTGCCTAGGGCTCCAAGCTGAGGGGCAAGAGGGCTTTATGGATGGGCACAGAGCCAAAGGATGTTGCAATTCAGCTTTTGGCTTTGCTGAGTCCCAGAGTGCCACAGCTGATGTAGCATGGCTGGGGGTATTTACCAGAGGGGAGGCAGCTGTGGCTCAGTACAAGGACAAAACCAGTTTCATTAGCAATGGCAAGTCTTGGGGATGATGGCAGGTCTAAGCCAACTGTTGCTGCAGCTTGGGGTCTCTGACACTGCAGAAAACCCCAACAAATGCTTATGGCTCTGATTCGGGAGGACTTTCAGAGCAGGCATTTTTCAACAGGGTCTTTATAATCCATATTCTTCCACAATTTTAGGGAGGGAAGAGAGTCTTGTGATATTAGCTTTGATAGTTGAAAACTTTCATGCAAAGGGTTGCCATTTGCATGAAATATACTTTTATTAAAGTGTCTCTGGACTCATATTAATGTGAATCCTTCGTCTCAGCTGCAACTCAGATCCCTTCTCTTCCACCTTCCAGAGATGGGTGGCAGAGGTGACTCAAAGCTTCCCAAAGTTCACGGGAGCTGGGCTTTCTACCATGAGCATGAGCAGGTAGTGAATGCTGCCCAGGGTGAAAAGATGAAGGGGTCCCTGCTGTGCCAGTGGCTTTTCCAGGAGCACAGGCTGAGAACAAAGATGAGAGGGAGCAAAAGACTAGGGTCTCAACAAGCATTTGGGTAACAAAGTAGAGTGCAAGCATAGGTGCTGTGATGGCCATAGACCCCCACATTTTCAGCCTGGCCTCACCTCGCCTTTTATGAGTGGTTTTGCACCAATGGCCTCCTGTATCTTCTTCACTTCTTTGGTGGGGCCAGTGATGAGTGAAGTTCCTGTGTCCACAATGGCCTCACAGCCCCCCTCACACACGCTTGGCCCATCGGCAACTTCCACCCTGGGGAGAGATGCCCAGACATTAGACAACCCTTAAAGACCTCCCAGAGAAGACTGCAGGAAGCAGTATGCAGGCAGGCAAGGGAGGGCTGTAACAGACACCCAGGAAGGACAGATGTTCAGAAACACTGATGCAGCACCAACTCAGACCCCCCGGCTCGCTGTTGTCTGCTCGTGACTGAGCAGGTGCTTTGAAGTGTAACTGCATTTCTGCAGAGTCTGGATGCTGCCTGCGTACCCTGCCTGCTACCTGCACTCCAGAGCTAGTGTCATAGCTAATGGACATGGGAGAGAGCTAAGGACAATGAATTACGGACTTTTATGGCCTGTGCTACTGCAGAAAAAAAAGGGTTAAAGGGGTGGTGTTACAGCCATGGGCAAGGGAAGGGTTCCTGTGCAGAGGAAAGGCAAGCCAGGAGTTGCTTGGCTTCCTCGCCCGCATTGCATTTCACAGCAGTGCAGAAAGACAAAGCCTTCTAGCTAAGGGTCTGCCATACTTTGCCAACGCTGCAGCTCTGGGGGAAAATGAGAACTGAAACGCCACACTGGGGAGGGATGCAATTCTCAGGAAAAGGACACACTCTGATCACAGGGCACTTTTAAGTTCCCATCACGTGGGAGAGCTCAGAATAGACGTGGGGCTGGCGGCCGTCAGCTCAGCCGGCTCTCCTCCCCTCTGCCTCCAACAATGCGCGCTGATTGCTGCGCCGTGCCCTTCAGTCAAGGGCTGGCTTCCTGAGGCCTCATCCTGCTCCTCCGGAGCGGTGTGCAGGACAGCCATGCAGCTCAGGCCTTGCTGAGAGCTGAGAAAAACTGGGGCTTAATCTATGGGGCTCGCCCTGCCTGCAAGGAGGACACACTGGCATTCTTCTCTGCTTTGCAGGGATGCAGCAGGCATCCTTTCAAAGGTCAAGGGTCAAGCCACAAACAAGAGGAAAGGATTTTGCAGAACATCTCCTTACGGCTTCTGCCTTTTGTCTCCTTCCAGTGACAAACAACCCAGCCCTAGGGTGGGATTTAATCTGCTTTTTGTAGTGTGGATGTGTTGCAGGGATGATTCCTTTTCGAGGAGGATCTCACTGAAGCCTCAGGCATGTGCTGTCAGCACATGTGACCCCATACATGTAGTCAGGTGGATGGGGAACTTACGAGTCCATGTGGATCTGCCAGTAGGCCTTGCGTGTCACATTAAACCAGCTGAACTCGCCCTTGTAATACTTGGGGTCGGTTCCTCCCAGGACCATCTCACCGCCAGGGACACCAGAGGGATCTCTGAAAAACAATACCCAAACCTGTGAACATCAAGGGCAGGGTGAGAACAACCTGCTTCAAGTGCCTCCCAAAACACCTGCTGGGGTGCTTGGAGGTGAAGCACAGCTTTAACAGTACTGGAGACACATAACTTATGTCATGCTATGTTCTACCAATATAAGGACAGATACTGTGAGATAGGCTGGGATGGGGAAATGGGAATATTTTGGCCCAGCCAAAGCAACCTGCAGCTTTTCACCTGGTACTTTCTCACAGAAACCTGGAGAAACTCATGGCAGGAAGTGGGATGGCAAAGGGGAACTAAGCACTGACACAGGGACTTCCTAAATCAGCTTGTAAAAAGTGCCTATGCAGGGCTGGTCACAGCTGCTGCAGGGTTAGGTTATCTGCCCTCAACTCTACCAACCAGCAGCCTTGAAGTGAATCCTCAAGGTTACCATCAGATAAGAGCTGACTGGTGAGCAGATGGGAAGAAATATGGTGATGGGGGAGGGCTGGTGCTTGAATGGCCAGCAGCAGCCCTCTCTGCCCTACCTGCTCTTGGCATGCTACTTTTTGGGCTGAAGTAGTTCAGAGTCGCTGCTGTGGTGCCAGAAAACTGATGGGGTGTCCTGTGGGGAGCAGGAGCGGGTGGGAAGGTGCTGGCAGCTGCAGAGGAGGATTTCCCAGAGTGGTTAGAGCATTGGCCCGCTCATTAGTGATGATTGCTGGGGGGACACCTTTGCCGAGGAGGCGACATGGTGATGACCACATGGCTTATGGATTTTGGCAGCAGACTGGGGCTGTTTACCTCTCTAAAGGGGACTGCACTAATATCAAACTCATGATCACAGCCCTGTTTATTTTTATTTCTCTTTCCTCTGGAAACATCCTCTGTCTATTCATCAGTTAAGAAATCTGGTCACAGATCCACCCAGCTTTTTATCAGTAAAAGAACTGCATTTCTACTTCCCTTCTCCTTACTTCATAACAGCAAACACAAGAGATTTTGGCCTGACAGCTCCTGCAAGCAGAACTTGCTGTGACTTCCTCAACTGGGAAGTGCTGTCCAGAGTGTAAAACAGCAGATGACAAGAGGTGCTACTGGAAAACAGAGAAAAGCCCACTGGCCTTGCCCTCGCAACCAGAGGTGTGCCACCAAACTCAACAATACCTGTTTAGGTAGAAAGAGAACATATTTTTTTCAACCAGCTTCTGTTTCATGACATTATCGAAGAAAGGCTCGGCACCCTCCACAGAGATCTTTGGGAATGCCAGGCCCAGGATGCCATCAAACTTGGCAGCGATGAATGTCATGCCTGGCTGCTTTGTGGCCTCCCCAAAGGTCTGATCCAGGATTTTCAAGTCACCAAGCTGTGGGGAGATGGGGAGAGAAGGGAAAAGCAGATTGTAAAGAAAACTGACTCAGGGGACCTGGGTAACAGAACCTCACTGAACACAGGCTGTAGCACGTCCCTCAGCGTGCTGCCACACTCCTGCCTGCTTCCACCACTGCATTTGTAGGCAGCTGCAGAAACCAGATACCCTGGTGCCACTCTTGTCAGGGGAAGAGACTGGCAACTCTGGCTCAGTGGAACCTCCCAAGTCCCTGCAAAGCCCAGCATACTTCTAAGGGCAGGAGAATCCCTTTAGCCTTTTGCAGTGCCCCAGCACTGCCTTGCTGTTCTGCAGGCCCTCCTCTTTGCACAGAGGACCCATATTCATTTGTCCCTCCTCCATTTCCTCCTCTATCACCTATTTCATCATTTCCTCCCAGTCTGAAAAGCTCTTGTGCTTTTCTTTTTATCCTCTTCTCCACTCTGGACATCTTATAAGTCATCTGTGTATCCTACCTCCTTGGGTGCTGCACCCATCCTTGGTTGGGAGCACAAATCCCTCCCACCTCTGCCCACAATCCCTGTGATCTCCCCCACATAAGAAACATCCCCGGGACATTGCTGAATCTCTTGCAAGAGCCACCAGCCTGCAGAGACCTCCCGTGAAAGCGGAGATGACCCAGCCAAGAAAGTGAGGTTGAGCATGAAGCACGAAAATAGCATGCAGAGTACTGAGAATTCAAAGGTCACCTCCCTTGCCAGCCATGAGAAGGACTGGCATTCCCCGCCGGAAAGCTGAAACGCCTTCCAAGGGCAGATCCCCAGAAAGAAGATGATCAGAGAAAGGAGGATAGCTCTGCTGATGGGGAGCAGGATGCATCTGCTGGCTTCTGGCTCTAGCAGTTCAGGAGGCTTGTGAGCTTCTGGCTGACCACAGGCAATTTTAGCATCCACACTAGGACAATTTCAGCCTCTCAGCCTGCAGCTAGCAGCCCTGTAGTGAGCCAGGCTGGACTGACAAGCTGGCCTCTCCTACCTGATGGCAGATAACGATCCCTGTAAATTACTAATATCCCCCCAGGGCTAGTGCAAGGCTGGGACAGCAGTGCTGCCTTTAATGGCATTGGAGGACTGCACTAGGAAAGGGCGATCGAGCCTTGCGAAAGCTAAAAGCCACAGGGCAGGATGTGGGGGGAAAGCACACAGCAATGCATCCGCTCGCCAGCGCCTGCCCCAGTTGTACACTCCAGGTTTACAAAAGCCACCCCTTGGCACCACTGATCCTCAGTTCAATGAAGCTTCTACTTAAAGTAAAATGCAATGGACTGATAACACTGAGTGTCAGGTTTGTTTGAATATTGCTCTGCTTGCACATCCCAAGGGGGAGGCAGATTTCTGCCCAGTCATGGATTCCCAGCAGACCCTGCCTGCACTTGGTCCTCAGCAGGGCTGAGACCCAAGACTATCTTTAGCAGAGTGCTCCTGCCAGGTCACAGATCCTTCGTCTCTGTCTCCTGGCTGGCTCTTGCCTCAACACTGAGCAACCAAAAATCATGACCAGTGGATGGCTGTGTGGTGGGCACACTCCAGCACTTTGCAGACAGGCGTCAGCGCTCCACAGCTCGCCTGGCCTTGTTTGTGGCCTCAGCCAGCAGTTAAGCACTGGATGGCAAAGGCCAAAAGGTGAGGGCCTCTAAGGCACAGCTTGGTACCAGGGCTTGGGATGTAGAGGCACAAGGGAGAGGCAAGGAAAGTAATCTCCTGTACAGTGTATCTGCACTGCAGTCATGCAAGAGACACTGTGCCCCATAGTCAGCTAAGTTTCCTCTGCTGTCCTTGAAGGACATCCCAAGGTTGGGCTGTGATAAAGAGATGAGATGTCTGAGCAGCAGAGGGCTGGCTGAACCTGCTGCTCTTTGGAGAGCAAGCAGCACTGCGGAGTGTGGCGCTACAGGGCATTGCAAACGAGAGAGGATGTTCAACATGAGCTCATCACCCTCTCAAAAAAACACTAGGGCTGAGGGACTCTGGACTACCTGCCAACAAGCATCTTTGGTCAGATATCAGTGCTAGCAGAGGCTGCTGTGGCTGCTTTCACCCACCAGCATGGCTGGAGCCAAGAGGGACACCCTGAAGGTTATTTCAATGTCTTTCTTTCAACACTATAGCTGACTGGGAGCTTGCCTACAACATGTTGTGCATCAGAGGATGCATCCTTGTGTCCAAGCTGAAGGTCCCTGACCCTCAGAGTCACCCCTGCTCCTGCCTACTACAAGTCGAACATTGCTCAGCTCCATGCAAGAGGTTTCTCTTGTTTCTGCACAGACAGAAAACAAATGCTACAAGCTATGCTGTCTGACAAGAGCCATCCCCACTTCCCAAACAAACTGAGGCAAAAAATCCTTCCTCTGAGCTGCAGGGAAGTGGAGAACTAATCAGCAAACAGGCACTAGGGTGACAATTACAAACCAGCAAAAAGAGAAAAAACGGCAATCTTCTTTCTGACTCATTTCAGCCCTTGCATTAAGCCCACACTTTCTAAGGACAATGAAGTTTGATGTTTGTCTTACTGCATCTCTGGATGCAGCATAGAGGCAATGACTGATGCTTCCAGGCTAGCCTGAAATCTTCATGCTGTAAGGATGGGCTAAAGAGTGCATCCTGCAAGAGTCACAGACTTTAAGCTTCTCCTGGATACTTTTTGATTCTGATGAAATTGGTAAGCCAATACTTTTCAGCTGAACCTGAACAGAAACGTCCAAATCCCCAGATTTATGTGCTTATTCAAAACTTTTGCTTTGTTTCTCCTCCCCTGCAAAGCAAACATATGCTCTTATCCCCTGCCAGGAGAGCGAGTAATCTGCGAGCACACGCACCCCTGATGTTTGGCAACTGGCAAACTCTCCCGAGCATCTGTACCTGGGAGGAATTCATGAAAGGCACTTGTCCTTCACAGGACAGAAAGCTCAGTCTTTGCTTGCTGAAAAGCAAACTGTGAAGCAACTACCACCCAGCTAACTCAAACTGCACCCTGAACACTGCTGGAGAACCTCTCCCCAGGGTGTTACCCAGCCTGTATAAGCGTAAGAACCAGTTCTTGACGTGAGACCAGGATGGGGCAGTAAAGAGACCTTTTCTGGTCTGTGTTTGGGCAGCTGCCCATGTGGGCATCCACTAATGTGTGGATATTGGCCAACAACAAGCTGGGCACCACCAGCAGTCTGTGAAGTGGTGTTGGCATATGCTTGGGCTGCTAAGTTTTGGGGTCACCAGAAAAAAGGTTGGAGGGATGGCCAGAGACCATATTTGCAGGGACACCATGTGAGCAGTCCCCACTCCAAGCCTGCTGACCTGCAGATCAATACCTTCTCCCTTCTCAGCCAGCCATGGTTATTGCTCCCTTTTACAGTCATCATTACAAAGTCAGTCATTTCAAAGGACTTGGAAACACAGCACAGAAGGATGTTCTATACGAGTAGGACACTCAGGAAAGGAGATCCATTGAAATCTAAGAGCTCCGAGCACTTCCTGAAAGCAGTCTGGGGCAGTGGTAACTCACCGTGACTACGTCTTGGCTGAGGAACCCGGAAAGGCTCCCTGTCCCATAGCGGATGGCAAACTTGGTGCCGTTCTTCACGTAGGTGCTGGATTTAGCAGAGTCATACTTGTGGTGCAGCACTGCAGGTGGGAAAGGGGACACAAGGGGACACACAGCATTAGTGCTCCTTTACACCTACAGTTCCCCAAAACTTAACCCCACACCATCCAGTTTATCCACACAAATGGACACTCAATGATGAGAAGATGGGCCTGAATGCAGGGTTTCATGAGCCCAGATTGCTTAATAAAGCATTTCCAGTGTCTGGGGAATTAGGTGGGCAGATCCAATTCAGGCTGTTAAATCCGATTTGGCCACTGGGTATTAAAAGCCTAGAGGCTATGTGGTTGGTGTGGTGTGTTAGTCAGCAGAGCAAAATGTATTCCTCCACATGCCATAAAGAACCAGGGTGGCTTTAAATATAGCCTACTCTGGGCAGGAACATTTTCACCTCATGGACTTATCTGTTTCTTTTACAGGAGTAGCTGGAAATTTTTCGAATATTGTTTTTAGTACAGAAAGAATTAGAAATATTCTTTTATTTGCAGAGGAGAAGGGCTTTCCCCTAGTCTAAGCTGTTTTTCCCCTTGGCTGGGTTGGGAGCTGTAGGATATCCCTGGTTTTATGGGCAGGCAGATTCCTCCTCCCCAGACTCCTCCCGAGTCACGAGCTGGCCAGCGCAGTCCCATGGCTGGTTGCTGAGTGGTGCAGCCAGCAGCTGAGGATGAACCAGCCGAGCCCTACACAATGTGACAGAGCTACACAAGGAGTTTCCCAGCTAGGCTGTCTGGGTCCCAGTTTGGATTCCAGTCTGGCAGGAGGTTAAGCTCCTTGTATATTCACAAAACGAGCCCTTCGGTCCCAGCACCTCCCGGGCATGGCACTGCCTTGAGAAACCATCTCCCTGCTACAAATCAGGAACCCCCTAGGCATCCCATGACTGAACCTCACCACCCTGTCAGTGTCCTAAATCTCACTTCACATATGCAAAGAGAAGGCCTGTGTAAAAGAAGTCCAAATTTCTACTCTACTCCCAATGAGCACTGTGGAATGCCTTTCATGGTTGCATTTGTTGACTCCACAGGTTTCCCCACTTTGCTTAAGCAGCACAACCAGTGGCTTTTGAATGGCATTTTGCCATAGCCAGGTTTGACATCTTCAGCTGTGGAATGAATGCCACAGAATAAAAAAAACCAACTTGTAGTCCCTAAGACATTCTCATTTCATTGTGCCTACCTGGCTCTCGTTAATTATAACTCCATAAACATGCACACACATGCTCTGTGCAGCAATAAACCAGAAACTAGGACAGTTTCTATCAGATCTGGCAAGAGGCTGACTTAAAAAAAGTCAGCCTTGCGCAATGGGATAACAGCAGCATTGGTCTATAATTTGGGGAGAAACATCACAGCCGATGATGCTGCTCCCCTGCTGTAGGGCTGAAGCTGTTGGGGAAGATTTGGCCCTGTATAGGGGTTACTTGGCAAAGAAACCCAGGAAAGGACTAATGAAGCTGGGATTGTATTTCCAGCTCTCACCCTAAAAAGCCCATCAGCCTCTGGTAAGTCCTTTCATGCTGCTGCCTCAGTTTCTCCTCTTGCGATACAAGTCTCTGCATTTTGCAGGGAAGGAGAAGCTGTTTAGCAGCTTCTGGCACTTGTGACACTTACTGCAGGCGATGTCCAGCATGGAACAGTGCACGGATGGCACCCAGAGGTTGGAGGAGCCAGTGTCAAAGATCACAGTGAAATTCTGGGGCGGCGTTCCAATACCAATCACACCGAAATACTGGGCCTGCAAGGCAGAAGAAGGGAACCATAAGCAGAAGCAGCTGGCTAAAAGCAGGGATTAAAGATCAAAAAATCTCTTAGGGTTGAATAGAAAATCAGCTTCTTATCTAGACATTGCCCTCCTCTTGGTTTTGGCACCGATAGGTTCCCGGCCTTTGTCCTCTGGAAGGGAGGTTCCCCTCCAGCGTTCATTACAGTGGGTGTGAAAAGGATAAATTGAGGACAAGTGGGATGGGTGTGTGCGGGGGAGGACATTTGGGGCATGGAGACAGAGAAGGAAGAGAAGGGGGAAGGTCTGCAGACTAGCATGCAGTTCACTACAAGGATGAGAAAAAATGATGGAAGAAAGCCAAGCAAAACACCTGCGTTATTGAAAAGCTGAAACTGGCTGGGAAGCTGCTTTGCTCGTGGGTTTGCAGAGAAACTGTGGGTTGCAGCGAGCAGCAGCACTGCCCACTGCAGGTGGAGGTACAGCTGGTGCTTGCTGGTGAGCTCCAGGAATGGGGGGTGAATAAACAAATGCTCAGTCTCGAGAGGTGGAAGACTGGAGGAGTGGTGGGAGCAAAGTGCATGAGCAGCAGCATCACCAGAAATGGATTTAGGCCTCCAGGGTAAAGGACTGGAGGAAGTCCCTGTAGCACAGGTATGTGGTGGATACACCTTTGCTCTAAGACTACATTTCTGCTGGGACTGGAAGAAACTTGAATGGCTGAGTTGTTGGCAAAGTATCCCTCTCTCCACAGAGGAGAGGACGAATGGAAAATGCTAGGCAGGTGGTACATGGACTCATTTTTCCCCAGTCCTCCCGAACAGGCAGGGAGCTGTGTCCTGCCTGGTGAGCAGCTGGTTCAGGGTTCTGGAGAGAAGGCTGCTAGCAAGGGAAGTCAGCCAGTAGCCTTTCCAAACCCCACGTGTACTTAATTAAGAGGGGGGAAAGGGGGGAGGGGAAGAAAACAGGATTATCAAAGCTGTTCACCTCCTGTGCGCTTAGTTTGCAAGGCTTGCTCACTAACTAATTAACAATCCATTGCAACATTGCAATTAGCCATAATGGGGAGGCAGCACTTGCTTCCAGTGGTTCTGTAATTATTGCTGGGGCTTGAAAACTAACCCCTGGTACAGGGGCTCCGTTTCTCACACACACAGACCCAAGAAGGGTCCCAGGGCAGGAAGCATACAAGGCAGGCTAGTGAGGGTTGTCCCAAGACATTCAGCAGCAAAATTCATTCAGCCAGGCTGGGAGGGACCCAGTGGTCCCTTATCTGCCACCACAGGTTGGATTAGTGCCTTTGTGACAAGGGAAAACAGTGCAGCCCTGAGTGGCGGTCTGAGCTGTGGCTGCAAAAGACAGCACTGTGACACAACCGCTCGGCCTGGCTTTCAACACTGCCAACTGAAACACCGGTGGCCCTTCCCAGGACAGGACGGCGCTGGCTGGGTGACAAGAGCCGCTGGGGAAGGGCAGCAGGGGGAACGTACACTGAATTAATGCCTAAATATCTGGGCCCAGTTTTATTCTGCCAGCTAATGCTCATATCCTACACTGCCCGGTAAGGAACCCTGAAATAGTAAACCCCACACGTGTCTGGCAGCAGGGCAAGGGCAAACTTCATGCCCTTTATCTGGCTTCTCCTTCTGCCACCACCCAGCTCGCTTTGCTCCCTAAGTTGCTGACAAGAAAGTGGAGATAAAAGGTGGCTTTTCCCAGGGCAGTGCAAAAGGTGAAGGATAGTCAGAGGAAGGGTCCTGCATCCCCAGAACCATAGTAAGCTAGCATCCTCAAGGAGTGGAGCATGATTTTTATGCCCCTGTCTTGCCAGAAGTAGAGTCCAAACAGCCAGAAGATGCTAGAAAGGATTGTAAGTCAGCAGCCCTCTATTTAGGATTGTTAATTAGTGACAAAGGGGAAAGGAAATAGGTCACAAACTGAAAAGCTCCTGCTTGGGTGGCAGCCGCTTGTTTGTTGTTGTTATAATTACTAGTATTAGTATTTTTAATTTAGTAACGATGGGAAGCACCTTTTGGTATGCACTCACTAAGCCACGGAGGTGCATGAATGTCCTAGAGGATCAACATCTCTCCCTCCTTTGCCTTCCTGGCTGGTGGGAGGCTGGCATGTCTCACCCCCACCCCGGGATGGGTACCCCTACAGGTGACATTGTGCTGGGGTCTGTTGCAGTGCAGGGGATGGTCTGCAGGGGGGTTGTTACTCACATCCATGTAGTTCTTCAAAATTTCCGGAGTGGGCTTACCCTCCTCGGCAAAGCCCAGCTTGTACTTGATGGCCTGGGTGATGGCATTCATATCTGGGATCTCACTGCCTGCCTCTCTCAGGATCCGCCGCATGGAAGGGAACTTGGTCAGGGGGATCCTGTGTGGAGACGGCAAGCACACACCTGTTAAGAGGGGGTGCGTAGGGCAGGGATGCCTAGGGAAGGGGGGCAGCAGGGCTCCATTCGAAACAGGGGACACGCCGGTACGAGGTGGGTGAGGTTTGGGCTCCTGCCAGCACCCTATGCTAGATCCCCCTCGCCGCGCTGCGTTCAGTGTTTTTCCCAAAGCCAGAGGAAAGGGGGATAGGCCGGCGGGCTGCCAGAGGGTCACCAGGTGTAGGGGAAGCTGGGGCGAGGCCCCTCCATGCGCACGATGGGGGGGATGTTCCGAACCTTCCCCTCCTTGCTTTGATGGCGGGGGAGCCACCCGCTATGGAGGGCTATAACAGGAGCTCGGAGGCCACCGCTGCAGCAGCACCGGGGGTACTTTTCCCATGTCCCCCCAACCCGGGGGGCTCAGCAGCTCAGTGAGGAACCCCCTCCTCTCACCTGATGAGGGCGGCGCAGGACCCGGCCAGGGCGAGCAGCAGGAGGAGGCCGCGGGGGCCCATGGCGGCGATGGCGCTGCTGGCGACAGTGACGAGGGGTCAGAGGCTGGAGGTCCCGACGCTGAGAGGCCGCGACGTCGCTGCCGCTTTCCGTCCCTGTTTTTGTAGGCAGAGCGGCCCCTCTCCACGGATTTCTGGAGTCAGCTGACGGTCTAAAATTGCAACCAGCGGCGTCACGTGAGGGCGGGCCGGGGCGGGGAGCGGGGCCGGGGGCGCCGCCTCACGGCTCTCCCCGGGCTGACCCCCGGCGTCTCGGGCCGTGACTCAGCCCCCGGGAAAGGGGAATAAACACCATGAAATCAGTCACGAGATGCCTGCCCGGCCGCGCGTGCCCCGTTCTGGACTGCCTTTAACTTCCTTCTGCGGGGCTGGTGCATTTTTTGTTCTTTCCAGGTTATCTGGCGTTTTTTCTCCCAGGGAAGTGGAGAGGGGGGGACGCAGGACACCAGCACAGCCCCAGCAGCAGACCCCCAGTTCCTCGCGGGGCTCGGCTGCTCACGGACCTCGGCCACCACTGTCACCACGGGGGTTTCATTGTGCACCCTGCCCAAGGGGCCCTGGCAGCCCCCAGCCCTGCGTTTCTCCCTGGCACCAGGACACCACCAGTTTGGGGGATTCATCCCTCCAATCTGTCTGAGCTGGGTGTTTGTGGAGAAGATGGGCATATCATAGGCCACAGCTTTTTTGGGAGGTGTGGTGGGGAGCCAGTAGGAGATGTCAAGCCACATCTCCCACCCGTCAAAATGCACTGTGGCGGTACTGTGCCACCTGCAGCCACCGAGAACGATGCTGGTGCAGGGCAGAGCCAGGGGGACACTGGCCACCAGCAGTCCCTGAGGTCTGCCCCTTCCTCAAAATGCAGACTGAGTACCAGGATGGGTTCTTCACCATCACTGGAGTGTGGTAACAGGGTTCAGAGGTGTCACCCCACCAACTCAGGAGGCCACAGCTAATCTCTGTCCAGTTTGTCCCGACAGAGCTCCTACAGAGCCACGAGATCTGCTGGAAAAAGAGTAAAAATGAAATCGGATTTACAGTAATTTTCCCTTCCAAGTCCTGAGGGCTGAGGGCGCTTGTTTTCTGCTCTGCTTGTGCCTAGTCGGGGTGATGGGAAAGTAGCAGCCTGTGGGACGAACTGAGCATTGTTGGAGTGGGGGACCCCTAGCTTTGCAATGAGGTTCCTGTCCCTCTCCCATCACATTTGTGTTCATGCAACTTCTGTAAAATTGCTGGGTCATGTCACTGGCACCTCACTTGCACCATCTCCTTCCCATACTCCGTCCCTAAGCCTCTTCCATTCTCCCATGGCCTCATGCAGGACCCTGCTGCCCTAGGTCCATGCATGCTACCCCCCAAGCCGTGATCCATCCTGAGTATTTTTAGAGGGCATTTCTACCCTGGGCTGTATCTTGTCCCACGAGCTCTCCAAATTGCCACATCTTGGTCAAGCTGATGGGCTTCAGGAAGCCTGCTGCCTGCTTGTGGGACACACATGCCTTTGGGATGAGGATTTCTGGAGGCATTGGTTGAACCTGGTGGGTCCCGTTATTTCAGCCAGCACCTGCTTCCCTCCTGCCCCTGCGGGTGTGTGGTCAAGCCGAGTGCCACTGACCATGAGTCAGCAAAACCCGTTGTCCTCCCGGCCCCGAGGCACTGCATGACTCAGCAAAATCCCGTGTGGCTCATTCGGGCAAGGGGCCAAGGCATAGCGGGTCGGCAGCACCGGTACCTGACCCCAGAGGCATCGCTGCTGCTGCTGCTGCTGCTGCGGGCTCCAGCTCACGGGTCTCCTCCTCTCAGCCCCCATCAGATCGTGGGCAGGAGTGGGTCAGACATAAACCAGCCCGACTGTGGCCCCATCCCAGCAAACCCACCCTCACAAAGGGCTCTAAACAACCCCTTTACAAATGTGCTTTGCAGACAAAAAGGACAGCCCTGACACCAGGCCCAGGCCTCCCCTACGTCCCTTATAGGCTTTCCTGGAGCCTGTGGCAGAGCCAGTGAAGTACCAGTCCTCCTCCCTTCTCTTTGAAGTGGCTGGGAAACTGTAGCTGGCCAGACAACCTGCACCTTGGCCCCCAGGCTGGGGCACATATGGTAGCTCCTCGAGCGTTTCCAGTCTGGCCAGTCTCTGCTAGAATCCCGTGGCTATGGAGTGGGTTCCAGTGTGCAGGGATGGGCCGGTGAGTACAGCATGCCACACTAGTCACGTACCATCACACAATGCAGCAAAGTGCTTCAGCAGAATAAAGAACTCTGGACCCAGGCTGTGTCTGGTTTTTTGATTCCAAGGGATTAGAGGCAAGTTTTGCTGTTATGAATGAGTCTTATCTTGAGTTTCATGGTAGCAAGGCTTGTGTCCTCATCTGGGACTGCTCTCATAACCTGCAAGAGGCTCGCTGCTTTTTGAGCAAAGTGACTTACATGTCCCCTGTTTCCAATGGTTTACTGGGAAAAAGGGAGAATGGGGCTGTGTCAGGGAATGTTACAATAGTGATCCTCTCCTGGGTGCTTGCAGGATGGGAAGGGACTGGGGGTCTTATCCCCCGAGTTTTTAATCTGTCTCTGTCCCTTGGCACCAAGAGTTTTGGAGCTGACACTGCAGTGCCTGCATGCTGGGAGGCCAGTGGCTCCAGCAAGGAGACAGGATTTCTGCATTCAGGCTCCCTCAGCACCTCTGTGGAATGTTTGCCCTGATGTTAAAGCCTTGAGAAGCACAGTGGGTATGTTTAACCAGGAGCTGGGAGCACGTCTAGGTATTTATAGGCTGGGACCATGAAAGTTGCACTATATTATCTTAAAAAGATAGAGTAGCACGAGCCTGGGCTTAAGGTTTTTTACACACTTTTCCTTGTTTGTGGAGCAAACAGGGAGTGCCATGGCTGAGGTATCTAGAGAACGTGTGAGACACTATGGAGGGGTCTATCCCTCCTCACTCCTATTTTTGTCACAGTGGATGACACCCCTTTCCTTGCTGCTCTGTCTCCTTAGCCCCCTGCATCCCCCGTGGCTCCAAGGGGTGAACCAGCGCATCTTCCCCGGGCAGCCCCAGCTGTGGGTGTGGGGTGACACGCCCCTGGGGCCCAGCCATGCTTTCGCAACCTCGGTGCCTGCTTGAGAGGATTCCCAAGGTGGGGTCAAATGACTCAGCTCCAATAGCTCCAGCTGGGAAGAGCACCCCAGCTCTGGGAGATTGGGGTCTCCTCTGCAAGTGACACCTGGCTGTGCCATCTGCCCTTTGCCCCACAGGCAGGAACCTGATGCAGCTTAGTTTATAAACTTAGAATCCTTTAGGTTGGAAAGATCATCGAGTCCAACCATTAACCCAGTACTGCCAAGTCCACCACTAAACCATGTCCCTAAGTGCCACATTTGCATGGCTTCTAAATGCCTTTGGCAATGGTGATTCCACCATTTTCCTGGGCAGTCTGTTCCAATGCCTGATCACCATTTCAGGGAATAAATTTTTCCAATATCCAGTCTAAAGCTCCACTGGCACAACTTGAGGCCATTTTCTCTCATCCCGTCATCTGTTACCTGGGAAAACAAGCTCCAACCTCACTGCAGTCTCCTTTCAAGCAGTTGTAGAGAGTGATGAGGTCTCTCGAGCCTCCTTTTCTCCAGGCTAAACACCCCCAGCTCCCTCAGCCTCTCCTCATAGGACTTGTGCTCCAGGCCCTTCACCAGCTCCACTCCCTTTCTTTGGACATGCTTCAGCACTTCAATGACTTTCTTGTAGTGAGGGGCCCAGAACTGGACACAGGACTGGAGGAGCAGCCTCACCAGCACCCAGTACAAAGGGACAATCACTGCCCTAGCCCTGCTGGCCACACTATTTTTGATAGAGGCCAGGATGCCACTGGTTTCCTTCGCCACCAGAGCACACTGGCTCATGTTCAGTTTCAAATGCCTTATTTTTGGGGGCCTCTAGCAGGTCTCCCATTTACAGTTTGGCAGACCTCTGCCAGGGTTGCTGCAGTGGTCTCTTTGTCCTTACACATGGCTGTGTGTTTGCCTTCACCCTTTCCTTGGTGTTTTTTTCATAAACTTATTTATCACAGCAGCACCAATGTTGTGAACTGCAATGACCTACATGGCACGGAAAGCTTCAGCTCAAAGATGCAGATTATTTTTTTGCTCAGCTGTGGGTGGGATTTTTAGAGGGCGTCTTCAAATTCAAGAAAGTGCATTTCTGATTTTGAAGCTCGTTGCTAAAAGAAAAGAAAACCATTCTCCCATCTGAGCTGAGCAGAGCCTACGGGTGCACAAGCCTGGGCAAGTCTGGTTTCAAACAGCCTGCCTCTGCTGGTGCTGGTGCCGCTGTGAAGGTGCTGGATGCAGCTCATTAGCAGAGCCTGATTCACCATCCCTGAGATCCTGAGGGAAGCAGTGGTAACTTTTTCCCGGCACAGTGCCAGGACTTCGCCCACTCCCTACACCGTTTCCTAAACTGATGTACAATTCACAAGGTGAGGGTGCGTTTTGCAGTGGCACTGGCACATCCCAAACTACACCCTTTTTCAGGGTAACACCCACAAAAGCAAGACTAAAAGGTGGTTTAGTAGCAGCTCTGGGTGGTGGGAAACCTGGGAGCAGAGGAGGGGTTGCGCTGAGCACAACAAGGTGACTCATGCAGGCCCTGGCCGTTGTGTCCCAGTGGGGAAGATGTCCTTGGCATCATGGGTGGTGGCAATCCCCAGTCCATTCATACCAGCTGGCTGGGGCTGGTTTGGAGGCACAGCTGGCCAGCAGCCTGCTGAAACATGTTCTGGCTGCCATCATGGGCTGCAGTGACCTTGGGGAAATGCTAAATGGAGTTGCAAAAGGCCAAGGCTGGTATTTTTTCCTTTGGTGTCCCTCATGCTGCAAACCGTGATCCTGCTGGCGGGCGAGGGTGGCTCATTGTGGCCGTGTGACACAACTGGATGTCATAACAGGCAGGAGCCCTGAGCATGGCTCCATCCTCATCAGGGCCATTTGCAGCAGCCTTCAAATGTGGAGTGTTTTCATCACATCTTGCTCTTCCATCTTTTTCCTAGCTATTTAAAAACAAAACCCAGAAAGGATTTCATAAGTGAAATCTGTTTACTGTCTTTAAGATTCTGAGCTGCTCTGGTATCTTCACTAGGGTTTACTTACACACTGCCTTGTCTCAGTGGGCTGCTGCCAAGCTTGACGTCGCCTGTCCCTGTGTCCCACGCACTTCATGGCCCTGCCCAAATCCTTGCCACCCCCACACCTCCTGTCCGCTCCTGACCCTGCTCGGCGTTGGATGTTCTTCATCATCCCCTGGCCCATCCTCTCCCATGGCTAGTGACACACCTGGCACCACCTTGGGGAGGAGGAGACCTGCCTCTCCCTGGCTGCTGGCCCTGTCTGCTCCTCAGGGCAGGGATCTCATGTTGTTTGCTTCACCTGAGTTATTTTGTAGCAGGCTGAAATTGCCAGGGAAGGGCAACAACAATCCTGGCAGACCCTGGAAGCAAGGCAGCGTGACCCGTGGCTGACAGGATGGGGTGATAAGTGACAATGATGATATTGATTCATCCCCACCCACGCCAGGATGTGATGGGGAACACAGGGACCCAACTCACCTTGTCACCACCTTGAGCAATTACTGCTTCTGTCCCCCATGTAAGCCTGACTTGGGAGGGGGGGTATTGGCATGCTGGTGGAGTTTCCATCATGATGCAGAGAAATGCCTCCAGCCACATCCAAGCACACATTTCATTTCCTTTGCAGCACTAGATGTCATTTAATTATTTCCTTTAGTTTCCAGCAGAAGCTGCCCTAAGACGACCATCATTTATACAATAATTTCTCTTCCACATAACACTGAAGTAATTGTCACTTCTGATCCTCAGAGGAGTGTGGGCTCAGAAGGATGAGGGTCAACACCCCATTGCAACCCAAGGATCAGCTTAAAAGTTGCAATGTGTTTTCTTGAAGTGGGAGCAACCAGCTCTCACTGGTGATTTGGTGAGTCAGTCTGGACCTCCTGGGGCAGTTTCTGCTGTGTCAATATTTCCACAAAGGCTCTGAATTCTAATTTATTGTCACCGTTCTGCTAAGCTCCATCTTTACTTGCCACCACAACCACTATTTTAAGTGTGACTGCCTGGGGTTAAGATCTTGAAACCAGTTTTAAGCACATTGGCAAACACAGTCTGTGGCTTTGCACACCCTCTCTCTGACCTTCCACATGCACAACAGCCTGTTAATAATTTTTTGTAGCGTGGGACGTGGCATCTCGGCCTCTCTGGCTGAGAACTCCTGAGTGTTTCTCAAGGTACACTGCCACCAGGGTGACTTAGGGCTAGGGTTATGGTCAAAAATGTAAAGATGCCTTGCTCAGTGCTCATGAGCAAAGGTGCTTGTAGGTTAGGGAGGTGTGGGAGCATCCTTGGCAGACACTGCAGCTGTGCCCAGGTCCTGCAGCCTCCAGCATCCTTCCCTCTGCAGCCAGGAGTCAGTGAAGCTGAACAGCTTGGACACTGCCACTGCAGATCTCTATTAGCAGACAAATACCTGCCAATCTTCCCTCCCTGCAGTACCACCATTTCATAAAACCCTTTCTCTTGCTTAGCACTGAGTTGTTTTGTTTTTAGCATTGCAACTCTAAATTGACTGGTGCAGTGAGGGAAGGATTAAGGGCACGGTCCTGGGCAAAGGTCTCCCACAACTCCTCGGGGCCAACCAGCTGCAGCCTCTGATCCCTGGGGTCACGCGCCCCACCCTGAAACAAGGGCCACTTGTTTGGCATCACTGGCAGAACTGGGCCCTGCAGAGGCAGCTGGCCTGCCTGTGGCTGGGAAGAGTAGGGGCCCACTTCCTTTTCTGGGCCAGGAGGGTGTCTCAGAGGGGAACCCAGACACCAGGCAGCTTTGGCTGGGTTTGAGGGGGGTTGTTGGAACGCAATGGTCGGAATCAAGTGCAGGTGCTCAGAGCCCCCTTTGCACTTCTCTTCCCAGAGTGGAAAGGTATGAAACCCAGCAGGGTTCAAAGGGAGCCTGTGTGTGGTGGTGACACGGCAGTGTAGTTTGCTCCTGCCTTGCCCTGGCCAACAAAACCTGAAATGGTATCAGAGAAGCATGCCATGACCAGCCCCAGCAGCTAAACCCTCTTCAGGTCGCAGCCGCGTCACAAGACCCTGGGGCGTCAGCAATCCCTTGAAGGAAGGAGCTTAAGATGCCTCTGAAAGCCAAATCCTGAGGAGCATCCCAAGCATAAATGAACTTATTACAGCTGCCTGTAAGACAGAAACAGCAAGTTTGTCCTTGCAGTAGGGCATGAAGCTGCAGCAGTCCTTGACAGAGGGTGTTTTTGATGGCACATCATTGGAGCAGGGCAATAAGGGCAGTTTTGATGCTACAAAGCTGAACTATGGCCTGAAGCAGCTGTACTTGGCCCTATATGATGCAACCCCACAAGCCTCGAGTTTCCTTCCTTTTTTCCTATTTTGGGCACATTTTGCCCTGTCATCCCCCACTGTGCTGACAGTGCTGGAGGAAGGCATGTGGCGCTTTCCCGCTGCCTTAGCATCCCACACACTGCAGTGGCTCACGTGCGCCTGTCCCCATCACCCCTGACTCAGCTAATTTCCTCTCTCCCAAGGCGGTGACCAAGCTCCTGCTGGCCCCGTCCAGACATCAGCAAATGTGATGGGTCAGGATGGTGGAAGATGCCCAGGACCACCATCACCTCCAGCACTGGGTCCGTGTCCAGCAGCAGTTGCCACAGAAGCAGCTGGCTGTGTGTGGCAGGCAGGGCTGGAGAGGGGGGCTTGGATCCCCGCACGGAGCCTGGTGGTATCTGACCTGCACAAAAGTGGGACAAATATCTGCACCTGCTTACTGAGCATGTTTGGAGCATCCTGTAATTAATGTTTGTTCAGCTGATGGCTGCTTAGCATTATTAGCAAATGATGAGTGGCTGATGTTGTTGATGTTGCTACCTCGAAACATCTAATTTCAGCATCTGTACTGAGCAAAAGGGCCAGGGGCCAGACAGCTGGTGCCAAGACCCTGCCAGGCCTTGCTTCTTTGGAGCAAATCTATGCACATGCCCTGCCCTAGCAGCCCCGAATTTGGACCCAAGCGATGGCCACGAAGGCAGGGACAGGACCTCTGCCAATGGCATGTCAGGGCCAGCAGCTGCCCTTGCTAAGGCAAGAAGTGCAGAATCCCGTGCTCAAGGTAGCAGGACTGAGCTTGGAGACAGATACAAGATGACATTCAGGGGACTAATCCAAAGCCCACTGAAGGTTTCTTGTGTATTTAAGCCATTTTGATGAACATGTCAAACATCTGATAAATAAATGAATGTATGGAAAGGAGCACTGAGATATTCCACCCTTCCTTCCACACCGTTAGACACAGGCATGAGGAACAAGCAGTCACACTGGGATGCTTGTTTATTTATTTATTGGGGAGGAAATAAGCTTTGGTGAGAGCAACACTTGTGAAGCCTTTAAAAAGAATTATTTTCTGATTACACTGAGATTAAAAAAAGTCAGCATCATCTTTATCTCCTTGTCCATAATCCCGCTGCTGCCTGAGCAGCCAGTTTGTTTTTTTAGGAGGTGTTTCTGGACAGCTGGCAGGGATTTGAGGTGCCATGTCCCCAGGCAGCACAGTGGCCTCTAGGGGCAATTCACATCCAGCCCTGGGGAAAGAAACCTGCAGGTGAACCTTGCAGGTTCCTTGTTCCCCAGGAAAATTAAGAATGGAGTCCAAACTGCCAGAGGAGAGGCATCCCTGTTCGGGGTGTGGTGTGATGTCAGGCAGGGAACCGAGCACACCCACGTACCCCATGTGCAAGGAGCAGTTGCTCTTGAGACCCCCACGCCTGCCCTTCACCCACGGCTCTGGAGATCCATTTAAGGCTGGCCACAGTTCCCAGTCCTGCCCCAGCCCCCGTAGTGCTGGTCTGCAGCCCGGGCCCCTCCATGGCTTGTGCTGCAGGCAGCCTATCTCCAGTGCCCTCTCCTGGTGGGACCTCAGTGCTGGGTTGTAGCCTTGTCCCCGTCCTGCAGCTCCAGGAGCTGAGTGTCCCACAGGTCTGTCTCCTAAAAGCACTCTGAGCAGTATGCATGTCTAAGGAAAGCTGTCTTGTGCTATAATCTCTTTTATGAGGAGGAATAGCTTGGGCTTTCTTTCTTCAATCCATTCACCCATTTCTAAAAGGTTTGTAGGTCCTTTACAGTTTTGAAGTCTTTCTCCCTCTTCTGAGTTTGGCTGGAGCTGCCTGAAGCACTCACTAGCACATCAGTCTCCTCAGGAAACCAAGATGAGTATGTCCGGTGAGGCAGGGTCTTGAGGGCTCCCTTTAGGCAGATGGGAATAAATCATAGAATAACAGAATAATAGAATGGTTTGGGTTGGAAGACACCTTAAAGATCATTCAGTTTCAGCCACCCTGGTGTGAGCAGGGACACCTTTCACTAGACCAGGTTACTCAGAGCTCCATTCAACCTGACCTTTAACACTCCCAGGGATGAGGCATCCACAACTTCCCTGGGCAACCTATTTCAGTGTCTCATCACCCTCACAGAAAAGAATTTCTTCCTAATATCTGATGTAAACCTGCCTTTGTTCAGTTTGAAGCCATTCCCCCTTGTCCTGTCACTACATGCTTTTGTAAATAATCCCTCTCCATCTTTCCTGTAGGATCCCTTCAGGTCCTGGAAGGCTGTAGTTAGGTTACCCTGAAGCCTTCTCTTTTCCAGGCTGAACAATACAAATTTTTTCAGTCTTTCCTCACAGGAGAGGTGCTCTATCCCTTTAATCATCTTGGTCTGCCTCCTCTGGACTCGGCTCAACAGGCTGATGTCCTTCCTGTGTTGCTCAATCTTGGAGACTGTCTGAGCACAGCCAAAACTAGCAATTTTTTCTTGCTTCTTTCTGCTTGTGTGTGAGGCATTAGCTTCACTAATTTCTTTGAGAGAAGTCCCCAGGTCCTACATGGCAGGTAGGTGTAGTCCTCAGTGTCACAACAAAGGTGTCCTCCCATCCTGGGGCAGTTGTGTCTTTTGGCTTTATCCTAAGACGTAGAGAACCTCTTATCAGGAGCAGAAATACCCAATCAAGCTTTGCATGGGAGTCCATGCTCTCGTCCCCTTTCCCTGAGATTTGCTTGCTGCACGTTAGGAGATCTTTCCTTCTCCACCAGAAGTTTTACCTCCAACTGACCCAGTCCTCTGTGTTGCTGGGAGGGAGGACTGCTGGCCTGCAGCCCATCAGCAGCAGGAAGGGACCCAGGCGGAGGGTACCCCCACATTCTGGGCCCCTTGGATGTTATGAAGCCCATCATCAAAGAAAATGTGAGGCTGGATCTGGGCGAGGATGGGGCCTTTGGGAGCCCCATCCATGAAGAAAGCCTCGTCGATGGGCAGACCCCATTCCCGGAGCGTCTTGATGGCTCGGACGCCCATGTCCCTGCCGCTGCGCGCTGTCACCAGGTAGGTGCGGATGGGGGATTCTTCCTGGCCAAACTTCTTACGCATCTTCCCGAGATGCATGGCAAAAGCCTTCAGGGGACCCTGGAAGGACAGCAGGACAGTTGGGAGTGTGTGGGAAATAAGGAAACACCTACTCTGCCTGTACAAGCCACTCATTCCTCTCACAGGCTTTCTCAGGGCTCTGCAGAGCACACAATGCCTGTGGGCTCCAGGACCAGGCAATGCTGGGACGGGGGCTGAGCACTGCAGTCCCTGGGAGGAAGGTGAGCCTTGTGGTGCTCATCCTAATCCTAAAGTGAGCAGCAAGGTGCCATCACAGACAGCAGTGCCTCTGGGTCTGAGTCCTGCAGGAACTTGGACAGCAAGAGGGCACAACCTACAAAAGGTGGTGTTGGGATTAGCCACAGTCCTAGATATTTAGGGCTTATTTACAGGAAATAACAGATCCATTTCCAGTGAGACTCCAGATCAGGCCCACACCAGGGACTGAGTACTGGATGCATAGGGACTCTGTAAGGATTTCTGCTTTTGTGACTGTTCATGCCAAAGCCCTAGCAGGAGAAATGGCAGAGCCTGCGGGTGCCCATGGAAGCGAGGTGGCATGCTCACCTCTCCTATGGGGACGGACTCCATCGCCCACTCGTACTGCACTGCCCCCTCCAGGCCCTGCTCCTGGAAGATCTGGTCTGTCTCGTCGGAGAAGAGCACGGCATCCCCGTCAAACACCACGCGGAGTGGAGTGCTGGGGGCCTGCACCTCTTGCTGGAAGACGAGCGCCGCTGAGACCCCTGTGAGGCACAGCAAGGTGGGGTCAGGAGAGACAGCCCTCCCTGGGGCAGCTCATGCACAGCCAGCTGCTCCCCACACATCTGCTACAGCCCTGTCCCACATCACCATGCCAGGGCCTCCAAGTCAGGGAGCTTTCTGGGGGAGTCAGCCCAGCCTTTCCATGGCTGTGTTATCCCCTGAGAAAGTGCTGCTGATCAGAAACTGAGGTCTGGGGAGATACTGAAGTGTGGCAAGAGATGGTGGGTGGCTGTCAAGACATGAGCACCCCTCCTCCTGGTGCTTGCTCACCCTGCCAAGCCTCAATCTTTAATGCCCAGATTTAGCACACTGTGGTGTGAATAATACGGGCTGGCATCTCCATTGATTGTGGTAATTGGCTTAATTACAGTCTCTTCCTACAAGCTGCTCCCTGCCCACCCTCATATGTGGACCCAGGCTCCCAGATGGGAGACACTTGTCAGGGCAATGATTCTCTCAAGGAGGTTCCAAGAATGTGCTGTGTAGTGAAGGAAAGTCCAGGTTGCAGATGGCTTGCTCCTGACCTTGAAGGATGGTGGCCAGCTGATGTGCTCATACCCAAGTGAATTAATAAGAAGGTGATTAACCCCATTAGAGGAGTTGGGGAGACTGCACTTCATCTCATTGAGGTCAGATATGTGCTTACTGAGCACACAGTAACTCTGCATGTACCAAGACAGCAAATTTCTGTGGCATCCTCACAAAGTCCTGGGAATCACTGATAAACTTTCATTGATGAATGGAATTGCATTTTTGGTTAGAAAGGCTTAAATGTCAGGCAGGGAATGACCAGCCCATGACAGAGCTGTGTTCAGATTGATGCATAATGCACTCAGTGACTTGTGAGGGCATCTGAGCAAGCCTGGTGTGTTTGCAGGCTACTGGTAAGGACAGAAGAGGAGATTGAATTGTTCAGGACTGTACTGGTAATCAATGTACCATTCACCCCTTGTCCCTGTGAATCACAGGCTCTGGTGTTGTCTCTTGTACTGAGCTGCTTGGAAAAAGTGTGGTGGGTTTGGGGACGTGGGATGGAGGGGAGAATGTACCTCTCCGGAGGGCGTTGCAGACATCTGTCCTGTCAGCTGAGAGGAACAGCTTGACGCTGTGGGACTTCAGGTACTGTGTGGAGTCCTCATCACTGACAAAGCAGAACTTGGAGATCTCTAGGTCTTCAGGACAAGGGATATGAGTGAAGTCTTATGGAGCAACATCCTCCTCATAGCCCCTCACTCCCTCCCCCAGGTCTCAGTGTGCTTTGCTGGAAGAGCACGGGGCAATTAATTTCTCAATGCCTGTGTTCTTGCTGCATCTTCTTGACCTGTTTTTGCTCCTGTAAAACTGCAGAGTGCAGGTAAATATTCCCTCCATCCCTCCCTTAAATGAGCATTCCTCCAGCACTCTGGGATTTAGGGGGGCTTTTTTAAACAACTTTTTAAAATTTTCAGTACCTGCCTGAACATTCCCAGGCTGTGCAAAATGCTGCAACTTCTTGGTGTGAAAGATACGGCTGAGGGGAGCTGGCCTCCAGGAGAACCCTTCCCCACTTCCTCTTGTATCCCCTGGCTCTCTGTTTGCCATTGATGATCCACTGTGGTGCCTGATCTGTCCTGCAGCCTCCCAGGGGCATCAGGCACTGCCAGGGATGGATCTCCCTTACCGTAGTGCTTGGCGCTGTTGATGATGCGCACGCCGCTCTCTGGGCTGTTGTTGGAGAGCACCACGATGTCAAAGAGGTCCCTCTCTGCTGGATTGCTCTCCAGGATCTTCTTGTTAACATACTGCACTGCCTGGGAGGAGATGGGACTCTTTTAAACAGGCATGACTGCAGCACCTTTGCAGGGGATCTTTTTCAGTTAAGGTTAGTGGTTTGTGCTGCATCTGTCAGCTCTATCTGGCTCATGCCAGCTATGGCAAGGCTGGCATGAGCCAGACAGAGCAATCATCCTGGAAAAGCCAGGGGGAGAGGGAGTGGTCAGGAGCACAGGTCTCAATGCCCTGCAATGAGGCCAAGAGATCAGCACAGGCAAAACTACACCCTGTGATGGGAATTGAGACTTAAAGCTGGGAAAACTGAGCTTTCACCCCATCCTGCGAGTGTCTGCATGTTCCCCATGCCAGGTGTGGGGCTTACCTGGATGAAGGCAAATGCTGTGCCTGGTGGCAGGGGCTTGTCCTGGTTGGCCTGCTGGTGCCTTGTGTACTCCTCCTTGCCCTTCTCCAGGTAGAGCTTGTGCTCCTCCTCCAGGTTGAAGATGGCTCTGGTGGTCACAGCAATGACCAGTGATGTACTGGGGTCTTTCTGCAGGACAGGGAGGAAAGAGGAGTCAGGGGACGGCAGAGAAGGAACTCAGGGAGGTGGGGTGAGCAGGGGGCTCCAACCACAGTGCTAGGGTTGGGTGCTGGAGGTATCACCCCTGTGTCACGGTTTCTGATGTAGAGATACCACACCCAGTCTTCATCTTCAGGCCACCAAGGATGGGGCTGGCAGTTGTGAAACCCTAACCTGTCTGGTAAGTGCCACATGCCCCAAAGACAGCTCACACAGAGGGGATTGCTCCATAATTTTGTTCTTCGTGGGGACAGCACAGCCACGGTCATCTGTTTGTGCTGGGTTTCTCTGCATAGACTGGTGGTACTACCCTTTGTTTGTGTCTGTTCTGGACAGCTGAATAAAGTCTCTGTGTATGTAGAGAAGCTGCTGCTTTTTCCCTCGTTGCTCCAAAATTTAAGTGTGAGAAAATGTACCTGCCCAGTCCCAGCAACTGGAAATCACATGGACTTCACTGGGACCAGGTGCCCAGCAGCCCTGGGACAGCCACTTCTGCTGAAACCCAGGCATGAGCAATTCAGGCCACCACATTTCTGGGTTGTGGTGTGTTCTCTTCTGTGGTGGCATTTCAAGACTTGGTTTGGAAATACAGGATGTGTGTTTTGTAATGGACAGCCTTTTACCTGTTTTACATTGGTGTTTATGACTGTGCTTTCCAGCTCTGCCATCTTCAACTCTCAGCCTTTAAGAGAAAATATAAAATTAAACTGAAAGATTATAATGTAGTCAATCTATAGTCATTCTTGGGAGGGGGAAGAGTGGAAAGGAGACAGGAAACATCCTACACAACAAGTACAGCAGCCCAAATGAACCTGTTTCTGCTGACAGCCACTTTGCTCCGAGAAAAACTGTTCTAATAGTTCCAATTAAATGTGATGGAAAAATGGCTTTTCAAACACAGATCACTGCTTTATTTTTACTTTTGTTTTTCTCAAAAAGAAAAACTCTGTATGGAACTGCTGAAAGCTGTTGTGGATCTCTTTTCCAAACAAAATAAGGCTGTCTTTAAAAGCCACAGTAGGTTAGATCTTATAGGCAGGTTTCTGGTTCACATCCTTGTCTTTTTTGCTTCTTCTGCTTGAATGGTGAATTTGTATCTACAAATGAAGGAGTTCACTGCATCAGCAGCTCAACTGCAGCTGTAAAAGTCCAGAGTAAGTAGCAGAGTGTGGTGAGGGTTTGGATAAAGGCTGAGACCTCTGCGATGGGGTTGGTCTGCCCCTCCACAGCCCCGTGAGCCAGTCAGGCCCTACCTGATTACTGTGCAGGGGAGCTGGGCAAGCAAAGAGCAAAGCCAACATGCAGTGTAAAGGACAAGTCAGGGTGTCCACAGAGACCTGCCTTGTGCCCCAGTTTTATTTAATTAATGTTTATTGTTCAGGGACTGCAAAATGTTGCCTGGGCCAGTAGGCAACACACTTGGCTGATGCCAGCCGTGAGAGCCACAGCCTTGCCATGGGGGGCTCAGAGCTTGCATGTGCGCTCCCCGACTGTCCCAGGAGTAGAAAGTCCTGCATCAGGGCTACTCCCCCAGCCAGGGCTGCCTGGAAAGCCAGGAGATGTTGAGCATCCCTCTGCTTCCTCCACCCCCTGCCCCATGCTGGGAAGGGGTCTCCTCCCAGAGAGGGCTGCAAACACCAGCCCAGCGCAGGCAGAAGCTTTCCTCTGACACAATCTCAGCCAAGTATTCTCTGAAAGTCAAAACTAAATGCAAGGAGGCAACGGAGCTGAGCAGCCCTTCCTGGTGGGAGAATCCACCTCTAATTTCTGCTTGGCTCTTCCAAGCACTGCAAACCAAGCTCGACTTCTCCTTTCCATCTCCCTGCCCCGATAACCCGCAGGGCTGTTCGCATCCAGACACAGGGATCCGCACGGGCACACGTCTCGCTGCGAGACCCCAGGAAAACATTCCCGGCGGGTGCTGCCGGTCCCCTCCTACGGCTGCCTAGCAGGGAGCAGATGTTTCCCCTGCACACAGGCAGGGTTCTGCCAGAGAGAGAAGCCCACACTCACTCACCCCGAGCGCTGCCTCAGCTCCCCGGCCCGGCCCGTCCAGCGGCAGCATCCCCAGCCTGGCCCGGCGCCGCTGTTTATATTTCCCCCTGGCGCGCTGCAGGAAGCAGGCGGGAGCCGGGATGGGCGCAGCTCCGCTCCCCGGCGCGCTGGGATTTGTAGGCAGCCAGCTGGTTGGCGTCGTGCCCGGGCCAGACTGCATTTCCCAGCTGGCATCGCACAGGATCACGGGCACCTGGGCCTGGCTTCGGACACAGCCGCGGTCACCCTGGGCAGGGGACTCGGCGCTGCTCCTGCTTGCGGAGCCCTCTCGGCGCTTGTGCTCAGATCGCTGTCCATAAGCCGTGATGTCTTATTTCTGCAGCTGGAGTATTTATAGCGTGCCTCTAGTCCTCTCATTTCCCAGCCCCTGAATGGTTGTATTTTTGACCGAAAAAAATGGGGGTACCTGGTCCAGAGTGACTCGTGGTGGATGCAGGGATGCAGGGAGCAAAGGCAGGTGCAGAGCATGGCACGTTTGTAATTTTACTGTAATTGTTTTGGGCCTCTTTTCCCTTTTTTTTTTTTTTTTTTTTTTTTTTTTTTTTTTTTTTTCTCTGAAAGCCATGTCTTACATGCTGTCCTGAGTAGCGTTGATTTTGGGGCTAGGATTTTACTTTTCTGGGTAGGTGTGGCACCCAGCCTGTGGGGCTCATGGTGCCAGGATAGTTCAACACCCCTTTTCTGTCCAAGAGTGTGACTGTCAGGGATATGGGGGGAAGAGGATGATGGGAGGGGGGTTCAGGGACCCAGGACCATCCTGCAGTTTTTCCCTTGCCCCACTGCTGGAACAAGATCCACTGCTGCAGCCTGCCCATCCTTGGAGACCAAATGGAGACCAAACTCACCTGCACTAAGTCTGAGCAGTTGTCCACCCACATGACATCAGGCTATCACCAGGATAACCAAATTTCCTCCCAAAATGTGGGAAGGCACCAGGGTCCTGTGCAACTTGGTCTCAGTGAGGTCATAGAATCATAGAGTGATTTTGGTTGGAAGGGTCCTAAGGATCATTTAGTTCCACCCTTTCCACCATAGGCAGGGATGCCATGCACCAGATTAGCTTGCTCAGGGCCCCATCCAACCTGGCCTTCAACTCTTCCAGGGATGAGGCCACAACTTCTTTGGGCAATGTGTTCCAGTGCCTCGTTACCCTCTGAGTAAAAAATTTCTTCCTAAGATCTGAATCTCTTCTCTTTTAGCTGTCTCTAGCAAACAACCTGTTGAAAATGCTACTTACATGCTCAGCTCTTAGTGTGCATATGCAGACTCCCCTTTCCCTGGACCGATTTTAATATTCCTTATTCCCCCATCCCCATAATGCATTTCTCTTGTGCATTCCTTGGGACTTCCAGTTTAGTGCAAAAAGTTCCTCCAGAGGTTTGCTGCAGCATCATTCCTGCAGCATCATTCCTGCATCTCCTGCTCCTGGAGATGGTGCTTTTCTGAGCAGCAGGAGTGCAAGGCCCTTGTGAGTGTGGCTATTTTTTGGGTGGCTGAGGGGCAGCCCTAGCCCCTCTCCTGTGGCTAAGCACCAGCTGTGGCAATGCCTTGGTGGCCATGTGAAAATCTGGAAGGGCTGGTGAGTCAGGGTGGTGGGGCAGAGCTGGGACAGCTCTGGTTTCTGGGGCATCTCCTCCCATCACTACATCAACCACTAGACACTGGCAGTTTTGCAGTATGGCTCCCTGCTTCTGACATCACCCCAAATTTACGTGGCAAAAAGGTAGGTTTTGCTGAATTGGCAAGGGAGGAAGTTTACAAGCATAAATTTAATGCAATGGAAGCCTGTGAAATTGCTTCTGGCTGTGTGCCTGGTGCTTCTGTTGGTGCTGGAGGATGAAACCACCCAAGCAGCATCCCCTTGTCCTGTCTGTCCTCCTTGCTGTGTTGTAACAGAGTATTCCTGTTCATCCACACACACATTTTGCAGGCCCTCACACAGTGCATGCCCTGTGGGCCAAGGAGCTGTCCTTCCCCAGTGCAGAGCTCACAGGGATGCATGCAATCGTGCACCCATCCCCTTGAAAGTGTCCATTCCCTTGTGCTAAGTGCCTGCAGCCGCACAGTCCAGCGCAGCATCGCTGCAGGGATAACTTGGAGAAGTGAATTTCCCAACGCATGGAGCCGGGCAGCAATGCCCTCCAGCTTCTTGCAGGCAGGAGGGCAGGTTTTGCTTCCTGGTCCAGCAGGGAGTTCCCCGCTGGCTTTTCGCCTGCATGAACGCTGCTTGGGTCAGCGGTGAGGTGGGGCCAGCGGAGCTGCTGGGGCCACCCGGCTCCTGAGCTGGCAAAGCAGACTTTCCTGTTTCAGCTGTGCAGTGCAGCCACCATCCCTTCTGCACCCTCAGCTGTGTGCCTGCTGGGCTCCCATCTCAGCCCACAGCATGCCCCTGCCACACGAGGCAGCTTGACTGGAGCCTGGGCAGCAGGGAGGGGAGGCTGACGCTGGGAAGGATACTTGTCGGTAAGTCTGGATTTGGGAACCCAGTCAAGACAGGGTGGGAGTGAGAGTCGGGGCTCCCCCAGCCCCCTTTCCAGGACCATGGATGCTTGATGCTCCCTGCAGACTGCCCACTGAGACTTTGCCTCCTGTGCCAGACTGCAGCAGGGCTGTCCCCATTGTTCCCAAAGTGGTGCCTTAGTTAATTCTTTGGGGTTGGGATAAAGGTTTTTTTTTAAACCAGGGTCAATGTTAGACTAATGTGACACAGCCTGTGGCAGGCAAAATGTACTGGCACTCCTAATTGTGTGCTGGGTGTATGCCTGCTTGCCTGTGCTGTCCTGTCCACCCTTCACTCCAAAGCTGTAGTCTGGCACCTCTAAAATGCCTGAGCGATGTTTCGGATGTTCAATGACACAGAAGTCCCAGGTGGCTCTAGACAAGTGATTTAACCTGCACTTGTTGTCCCAGCAATGATGCCACGGGGGTGACAGCAATTCCCACATCTCTCTAGCCCCATGCCCACATGCAGCAAAGCACACTGCTGGAAAAAGAAAGGGTGCATGCTGGCTTCGCGGGCTCAGCGAAGGGAAGTGCGGACGTGGTCTCCTCCTGCCTGGGATGACCCCCATGCAAGGAGCACCTTGGGATGGGCAGAGCGAGGTGGAGTTGGCTGCTTGAGCAGGGACCCGCTGGAAGGCAGGGCAGGAGGCTGGGCAGCCACAGGCACATACCTGCCAGCCCGGGCAGCGGGGCTGGGTGCCACCATGCCGTGGTGGCTGCAGAGCCGCTCACCGCGCAGCATGGCTGCGGGCACACCTGTGCTGCTGACGCGAAAGGAATTTGGCTATGAGGAAGTGTTCACGCTAGAATAAGAGCTTTGCCATGGGGAAAGCAATGCTGTAAAACCATCCTGCTTTGAATCTGAAGCCTTTCCCCAGGCTGTGTCAGCGTTGCCATGTGCACAGGCCGAGCTCACGGAAAGTTTCCGAGCTGGTGTGGCCCCAGCCTGGTGGCAGCACTGCCACCGGCAACGAGGGCACCAGCCCTGTTGCAAGCCCAGGAGCCAACCTTACCACTCCTCAGCCCTGCGACAGGAGGGAAAATAGCCAAAAAGGGGTGTTAGCTGATGATGGGGCTTTCCTGGAGCTGAGTGAACCCTTCAGCTCACTTGCCTGGCCAGGGAGGAGCCAGCATAAAACAGCTCTTGGCTTTTGTCCCCTGCAGCCAAATGATTCCTCTTCTCATAACGCCCTGGACCCCTCAATCTCTCTGCTTTCAGCAGGCAGACTTGCAAGGATATGAAGGAGAAGGCTTCATGGGAGGGGCCGGCTGGCGCAGAGCCCTCCCTGCCAGCAGCTCCCTCCCGCTCCATTTCACATCTCATTGTCAATGTGGCCAAGCTCTAATCGCTTACCCTAAGCTCTATATTTTAATTGTGTTTGCTGTCATTAGAGCCCTGGGCTGCGGGAGCACACGTGCTACCGGAGAGGAAATCCCCACCCTGTTAATTTTGCCTGTGTTCCCAGGTCACCCCAGATTAGCCATGGCAGTGGCAGCCAGGAAAGGCAGGACTACAGCCTCCCCACACACCGGCATCACCACCACGGTTTGGCCGGGCTCCCTGGACAGCTGGCTTAGCTGGATCCCGCGTGAGTACAGTGTCTCCTGCCCTCCTCTCCCAGGCTGTGTTACCTGGTAGGGCTGCTGGATTCTGAGGCTGGGTATTCACTTCACCCTCCCTTCAAATTCCATTTTCTAGTAGGCTCCATCAGGGAGGTATTACTGCAGAGTGGTACCACACTGCTTCAGAAGCAGAGGGTATCTTTGCTACCCATTTGGGGAATGGTTTTCAGCCTCAGTCTCCCTGGATGGGGCCTGTCCAGGATTCTAGGGGCAATTTTGAAAGTACAACCCCTTAATGCTGAAGGACCAGGAAGAGGTTTAAATGTACTCTGTATGTTTTGCTTTGTTTTAACTCTTTTATCCAACTCTGCTCCCTGAACATTGCACCAGTACCCAAATGGGCGCTCATCACTGTGGCTGTGGCAGGGGCCATCCTCCTCCTTCTCTTCCTCATCTGCATCATCAAGTGCTGCTGCACCAAGAGGAAGCCCAAGAAGAAGGAGAGAATTGGCTTGTGCGTCGTCAGCAACCCCACCACGATCAACCTTGTGCGTCCTGCCTTCCCCCCGGTCCCTCCTCCCTCCTCCCTGAGGGGTTTGCTGCTGCACTGCCCAGCCCCAGGATGGTGGGAGCATGGCATGGCAGGGATATAGCTGAGTGTTGCTCTCTGCCACAGGTCCAGCCCGAGATGGAGGACCTGGAGCGGGAAGTAGAGCAGAAGAGGCGAGGAAAGCTGCAATACTCCCTGGAGTACAACTTCCGCATGCAGGAGGTGGGGATGCTCATGGCCCTGGACAGCAGGGAAAAAGCCATGCTCTTGCATGGTCACTCTTTGCTGCCCACTGAGGTGGACGTGCCCTCTCCCACCTGTCTGCAGCCCACTAGCTCTTATGCCTGCATGGTGTCAAGGCATTCCTCACTGCTGCACTCACTTCCCACTGAGCCCCCTGATGCCTGGCCCCATCCTTCTCCAGCCGGTGACCTTGTGCCTCACTCCTCTCCAGCTGAAGGTTGGCGTGAAGCGGGCAGTTGAGCTGAAGGCCATGGACAGTGGAGGCACATCTGATCCATATGTGATTGTCTACCTAACATCCGATAGGAAGAAGAGATATGAGACCAAAGTTTACCGCAAAACCCTGAACCCCATCTTCAATGAGAGCTTCACTTTCCAGGTACAAACCAAAGCCAATGATGTTTTTTTGGTCCCATCAAGAGTGTTGCATAGACACTGCTCCCTGGGCAAAAACCTCTCCAGACTAGGAGATGCTTGTGCAATCAGGACTGGGAAAGGTGAGAAAGGAGTACCCTCATGGGGCAGGGCCACCACTGAGGAGTGAGTCCAGGCTTTTGGGTCCTCCCCTGCAGGTACCCCAGGCTGAGGTGTCTGAATCCACACTGGTGATGCAGGTCTATGACTTCAACCGCTTTTCCAAGCATGACATCATTGGTGAGGTCCGGCTGCCCCTGGCCAGTGTCAACCTGCAGCATGTCATCGAGCAGTGGAGTGACCTGGCGGTGGCCAGTAAAGTGGAGGTTGGTCCTGGTGGGTGGGAAACTGCTGGGAGGGATGTGCTGTTGCTTGGCTTGCCACCACTCCAAGAAGCAAGCCCTTAGGGACAAGCATGAGAGTGGGGGAGATTCAGGAAACCTGGGGCCAGCCTGGTGCTCCAGCCTCAGGTGAACTGGCTCCTCTGCCTGGTATTAATTACTGGCATCTCTCCATCAGGAAGAGCATCTGGGTGAGATCTGCTTCTCTCTGCGCTACGTCCCCAGCACTGGCAAGCTGACGGTGCTCATCCTGGAAGCCAGGCAGCTGAAGCGGATGGACTCTGATGGACTCTCAGGTCAGTGGGGGCTGCTTGTGCTCAGACCTTCCTACTCCTGCCCAGGCCTCAGTGGTAGCACCAAGAGCTGCAAAGCCTTGAAAACTCTTGGTGTTAAGATCTGCTTCCTGCTGTGACCACCATATTCAGTCCTTGGCTGATTCCCAACACAGATACTCCAGCTTTGGGCAGTACTGGAGGTGTCTCCCAGGAGGAGATGCCATGGCTGGATTGTACAGGCAGCTTGGCAGGAGGAAGTGAGCTCTGAGGTGGCTTTCTCACCATGAGGAGTGACAAGTGGGATGCCGTGGTCTCCTTGGGAATGGCTCAGGAAAGTTGTTTTGTGGCTGAGTTCTTCAGTCAAAAACTGTCACTTGTGCCAGGTGTGCCTTCTCTCTCTTCAGATCCTTTTGTCAAGGTGCATCTCATACTGAACAGGAAGAAATGGAAGAAAAAAAGGACAAGTGTGAAGAAAAACACTTTAAGCCCTTACTTCAATGAGGTGTTTGTTTTTGAGGTGCCTTTCAGTCAGATCCAGGTGGGTTTCCCTGAAGTGCCCAGGGCTGAGCAGGTCCCCACTGCAGCAAACCTCTTCCCACTGACCCCCTTTCTTGTGTTCCCTCCCAGCATGTGGACGTGGTCATCTCCGTCTGGGATCATGACAAAGTGACCAAGAATGAGCCCATCGGCAAACTCTTCCTGGGCTGCCGAGCCACAGGCAACCAGCTGCGGCACTGGTCCGACATGCTGTCCAACCCACGCCGGCCCCTTGCCCAGTGGCACATCCTGCAGCCCCCGGAGGTGGTGGACAAAGCCCTGGGACTGAAGTCCCACCTCAAGCTGCCCCTGCACTCCAGATAGTGGTGGTCTCCTTCTCCACCCAGGGAGCAGGATGGTGGGCTTGTGGATGAGTGAAGAGGTTCTGCTCAGCAAGCTCGAGGCATGTTGGTCCCAGCTCATTGTCAGCAAAGAGGGGACTGGGACTCCTTCTGGCCAAGAGATGATCTGGCTACTGGTCAGCTCATGCTCTGTGTTACACCTGGGTCAGGGCAGCTCAGCATCCCAGAGGAAGGCTGGACATGGAGCAGAAGGTGCTAGAGGGGATGTCATGGGTGCAGGAGCCAGCTCATCCCAACTGCTCATGGGCTGGAGGGGAAATACACAGAGCTTCAGGCTCATGCAAAACAGAGTCCATTGATATTTATAAAGCAGAGGGTTAACGTGCTGGTGGCATGGGTGGGAAGTTTCTTTAGTGGTGAATAACTTGGCAAGAAGCGTGTTCTTGGAAAGGCTTCATGTTTCCTGTGAAGGCTTTCAAACAAGACCAAGATATTGAAGAATGTAAGAGAGAAGGAATACAGGTGGATGAGGAAGGTGCTGGAGATGCTGGACTAGCTCTTTAGTGTCTGCAGTGTGTGCTCTGTGTCCAGGCTAGAGGCTAAATGAGAAGCAATGTGGCTTCACACTTAGCCCGTTCTCAGCCCATGATGATTTGTGCACACTAAGATGTGATTCAGGCTCTGGGACTCACCAGTGGCCATCCCCATGCCTCCTTTCACCCCACATGGTCCTACAGGAGTGGCACAGCAGGGTTTGCACCTCTGGCACCTGGAGGTCCTGCCAGGGTGGAGGGGGATGAGGCTCTTGCTTTCACACTGTGATCACACCACCCTGGTAAAGGCTGGCTTACAGCCCTCATGTCACTTCTGGGCAGGTTTCATGTTTAATCTGGAGGCTTTTTGTGGCCACATGTCCTGCCCCACCCTGCTTTGTGGGCCTTGGTGTTGAGGCTACATAAGCAAAGATCTCTCCTAGAAGGATGAGGGCATGGAGTGGTGCTGCTACATGCCCTTGAGTATGCTGCAGTTTGGGGTGACTCCAGAGCAGCTTTTCTGAGCCATCTGCAGGAGGAAGCTCCCTGCACTGGGAATTGCTCCTGTTCTAAAATCCTTCTGCTACAAAGCAGCTGCAGAACACAAGATCTGGGCTCATGCTGTGGAATTTTGGCCCCAAAGAATAAAAGTCCTCTTCACCACAGGGAGCTGCAGGCTCAGTGCTAATAGCTATTGCCTTGACTCTGGAGGGGAGAGAGCCTGGCACATTAATGAAAAGCTATTAATATTAAAAAGCAGTTAATCTGTGATTAACCAGAGCTCCACAGAGTGACTACCCAAGAGTTAAACAAACATGAAGCTGAGGAAGATTATGAAAAGTCTCGATAGAGATTAATGACCTGAGCTTAACCACAAAAAGCTGCTGCTGTGTCTGCCTCTTGATGAATATTCTCCAGGCTTCGCTGTGGCCATGAGGAGGGGAGAAATGACAGGGTGGTTTTGAGATGACTGTAACAAGTGAAGTGTGGCTTCTGCTGGGGAAACAGCATCTGCTGGCAGCTGCTAATGAGATGGAGGAGGAAATCAGTCACCTGAGAAAGACTTGGAGGTTTTAAAGCCTCAGCCTTCAGTCTCAACATTAGAATCAGCCTAGAACAGGCTGTGCAGAAGGGAACATGTCTGAATTGGGTTTGGCATTCCAAATCTATCGCCAGGTTGGTTTTTGGTGATGCTGTTGTGGTGATTTAGGGCCATGCAGCATCTAGAAATGGCTTTTGGAACAGGCAGTTCTTATTTTTGTGTGTGTGTGTGTATATGTGCTTTTTCCAGTCCCCCTATTTTGAAGTCACAGCCTTGAGGTTCACTGCATAATTTATGGAGCTGGGCATAAAAGTATGTGCATATTAGTCGCAAAACAGAGACAGCCCCTCCTTGAGAAACATTACTTACTCCCCATACCAGTGCCTGCCCCTTTTCTCTCCAGCTCTGGTCTTGCTCAGTGCCTGGATCACCAGCGCAGTGCTGGGTGAGCAGAGCTGGAGAGGGAAGCCCATGGTGCTTTTAGGGGAAAGGCTGGGGAATGTGGGAGTGAGCACCCAGCTGGGCTGGCTCTGGGCAACCTGGAGTGAGCCTTTATGCAGTAAATCTCAGCAAACTGGGTTGTTTGTTCAGGAGGGAGAGGCGAGCAGGTGAGGATGTTCTCCACCCAGCTCCAGTTTTTAATGCACCACCAAGGCTGCTTTTTCCCTCCGTCATCATTTCTCTTTCTCAGTAAGCCTTGTGTGCTTACAGCACGGCTTTGAGCACTCTCCTCCTCTGGCAGGATCCTCTTAGTATCTGCTGGCAGCTGTTTGAAGCAGGGCTGGTGGATCTGGGCTTCATTTCATGCCTTATTTCACCCCAAATGAACACAGCGTGCTCGGGAGCCTGTTTGCAGGGAGGCAGACAGCCCTGTCTCGTGTGCAAGCCATCTCCTTTTCACCTCCCTGTGGCCTTGGCGGGGCTGGTTGCCCCTCATCGATCAAAGCCAGATGTCTGAGCATCTTCTGCCTCACCAGTGCTCCTCCTGCACTTGCAGGGTGGAAGATGAGACAGGAGAAGTAAAGGAGGGGGAAAACCAACTGCTCAGCTTTCGTCTGTTCTGTATTCCCGTGTCTACATCTAGAGGGCAGGGCAGTACGTGCTCTGAGCTGGGTCCCTGTGTCATCTGGTCTGCGGCCCCCGTTAGAGCCTCACCAGCCAGGATTTCTTCTTCCGGAGATGGAGCCCGTGTTCAAGAGGGCGAGAAAGCAGCGATGCTCTGCAAGCCCCTTCCCGTGGCTGCACAGCCCGCTGGCAGCCATGTGGCAATGCTGGAGGTGTCCCAGTGGCTTTTCCCGGGAGGCAGGAGCCAGCCCTTGCCTGATCCTGCGCCACAGGAGCGAAGAGGGTTTTGCTGGTGGTTAAGGGGGGCAAAAGCAGGAATCCAATCCATCCAAGGTGCCCAGGTGGTTGTCGGGGGAGTTTGTCTTTCTGCATTTAATTAGCAGCTTTGCAGGTCAGTGGCAGGGCAAAAAGCAGGGCTTGGGCCAAGCAGAGGTCTGTTAAGAGACAAGAAGCACTGAAAATTGAGGTGTTTGTTATTAAGATTTATAATCTCGATTATTTACATCCAGATCCAAGACTTCTGATCTCCAGAAGTCCCTTCCAAAGTTAATTATTCCCTCATTCAGTGATTTTTTTTTGGTTATTTGTCCCTGCACTCAAGGAAATCAAATGGGAGGGCTGCACAAGGAGAAGGCTGAGCCTCATATGTGCTTGTCACCAGTCGTCTGCAGTGAGACAAAAATGATTACGGGCTGTCATCGTTCGGCCTGGGTATGGGCTGGCTGTCCTCCAGCCACAGATTTTTTGGCTAGTCTTAGAGTTTTTGAGAGCTGGAGAGCATCTAAGCTCTTCTCACTAGGAGCAAGCATGCCTGCTTTATAAATATTCCTTAGCTAGCATCTCTATGCCTTGCAATTTTATGGGCAAAATGTGTACTTTTGTCATGCATGGGCTTATTTTTTAAAAGCTCCAGCTCCTGGATCCTTATCACTAGTTTCCTTTCTCTATCCTCATTCTCCTACCTTTTTCTCTCCCTTTTTCCTCCTCCCTTTTCCTAGCCCCTTTCCCCTGCTCTGACTGCTGCTGGGGCTCTTCTATTTGGGACTGTTCCTGCCCCAGGCTGGGCTTGTTTTGCTTCTGGATACAGAAATATTGTTTGGACCACTTTACATCTCAGTGCTCTGCCATGGGCAGGAAGGGAGGGGTAGAAGCCCCAGACAGTCCAGTCTGAGGAACAGGAATAATAATGGGTGCACAGAGGTGCTCCCCAAAGTTCCAATTTGAACTTTGTGGGCAGACCTGGAAAAAACAGACTTCTAATTTCTCCAGATTTCAGGTCTAGGTGGGATGGAACCAAAGGAGAAGCAGCATGAAGATTCCATAGCTTTTATGCTGCTGGGCAAAAAGTGCTCCCTGAAGAAGTTCAGCATTCTGGGTGAATGGGTACCCATCAGTGATGACTTGTTGCATGTCAACAAGATGGGAATTTCTCAACCAGCTTTGCTGACTTCACAGAGAGGTGATGAAACCCCTGCAGGCACTTATTGCCACTCAACTGCAGAAACAAGCACAGAGTCAGTTAGGAAAAGGAGTTTAACTGAGCTGAAAAGAGGCCTTGACCTGCAAACAACCCAACCCATATCGTATTTTACATTATGTGAGCAGCATCTGGGAAGATGGTGGGTTTGCAAACGAGCATTTCATCACCCAGCTCGTGAACATGGACATTGCAGATGTCCTTGTCTGAGCCTGAAAAACTCTCTGTGGGAAACGGGCACTTTGAGTTGTGAATCAGTCATTGCTGACTTAGTAAATAAACACTGCCCTCTTGGCAGAGCTGGTGAAGAGCCAGTGCCCATGAAAGAGGTGCCTGTCTCACGTGGAAACCAGCCCAGATGGCATCTGGTTTTGCCCTGGATAGAGAGCATTTTCCTCTTAACTTTTACATACAAGTCAGAGCAGTTTAGACAGAGAAGCCTGAATCTTGGCATGAAGGTTTTCACTTAAGACAGTCCAGTTAAAACACTTGGCTTTGGTGTACACTCTGGATGTGACAAAGGATGTGTTCACACCTGCAAAGGCCACTCCTGAAGGTTTCTCTGCTTTGGATGCACTCATCCCACACCACCCCCAACTTTTTGCTCGGGTCTGCCTTCATAAAAGAACATTCATGTTCCAGATACTCTGAATTAATTTCCTTTGGGGATATTCTTGAGAGATGTTCAGTGGGGTTGGGTGCTGAGATTTCGTGGCGCAGCCCTCTCCTACTCTGAGCTCATCCCCTCCATTGCCAAACCTGGATGAGAAGCACCTCCAGAAGAGCTTCCAGAGGCCAATCTCCTTGCAGCTGTCTTCTCCCAAGGCTTTCTCACTGTGTGCAGGTAGGTGAGGCTGCCAAGGGTCTTTGCAGCTGACAGGTGTTTTTTGTAAAATGAAGTGTCTGCAGTTTACAAAAAGCCAGTGTGCTTGGAATGGATAAATTCTGGAGAATCATTCCTTGCATGGCTACTCGTTTGTAGAGCAATTGCTGACCTTGGGGAGAGAAGAGCTTTGTGATTTATCAGTTTTTCTTGAGCTCTGTGGCCTTTTTTTTTTTTTTAACCAACACCATGTTCTTGGTGCTGCTTTGTCTTGGCACAGAGAGCCTGAAAGACCTTTTGAGAGCAAAGACATATTTCAGCCATACTCATTTGAGCACACATTGAGCACATTTGAGAGGTCTCAGCCTGTTCTCCAGACACGTTCTGGGTCATACCCTGGTCTTAACCAGGCTTTGAGGATGTGCATACACATGAAGGATTGTGATCAGGTGTTGGGTCACTTCAGTAATACTATCCAGGGGCAAGCTGGGTGGAAATTCCAGAGGGATCACCTCCTGTACACATTAAATGCTGAAGGCCTGGGCACAGACCAGTGCTTGTCAAAGGTGTTCACTTTCCAGGGGGCTGCCAACTCAGCCTGGGGTCATGGAGGAAGTGCCACACTGTGGAAGAGTCCAAGGCTTCTGGTCCTGGGCAGAAGTGAGAAAAGCTCCTCAGAGGAGTGAGGTTTGTGCCCAGGGCTGTGCTGTGAACTGAGTGATCCTAACCCTGGCTATGAACACAGACTCTCCATCACTGGAGACTGAAGCCCCTGTATGCTACCATGGTCAGAAGGGACTTCATCCAAAGGAGTTTTCCTGGTTTTTACCTTCTCCCTCAAGCCTCTCTTCACCCTTCTGTGTTTTCATTTTGAAATGCTGCCCTTCCTCCAGGCTCCAGCTTGCAGCAAGCTGCAAACTCTTTGGAAGCCCACACCAAAGAGTGTCCCTTTGGAGTGGAAGGGATCATTAAAATGCCTTGTTTCTTTTCAAGGCCATATATCGAAAGCAGCCATGTGCGAGTACTTCTGTGTGTCCATAGGAAGTTGTTCTGTTCCTACAGGCACTTGTCCAAAGTTGGTGAGTATAAAAGTGAAGTGAATGAAGAGGAGGGTGGGGATATGGTGTTCATAGTCCTGCAATGTGGCAAGATAGCCGGATAACTCTTCTTAGCACCATCAGCAGGAGGCAATGACTGCTTCAGCAAGATTGGTTTGCATGTCTCCTTGCTTGTGCAGCTGCAGAGATGAGCTTTTATGGTCTCACCAGTCCTTTTTTTAATACTGTTTGGCAGATGGAAGAGGCTGAGAGCAGAGGGGCAGTCCTCAACATGGGGTCCCTAATGCAGGCCCACAGATCCAGTCCCAACCCTGCTCCTCCCCTGCCTTCTTCAGCAGACTCCCCTTCAAGGCCAAGCTCTCCTGTCACTTGTCCCTCTTTTTGCTGATGTTGTGAGCCCAATTTCAGCCCCCGGCACCACATGCCAGCTCCAAGAAATCCCTCAGGAGGAACAAGAAAAAGCTGCATCCCAAGGAACCCACTTTTCAGGAACCTGTGTGTTGCCCCTTCACAGGACCCATCATCACTCAGGTAACTGACTGCATCCACCTGGGGAACATCAACAGTGGGCAGGGCTGTGCCTGGACAGCACTGACAGCTTCAGCAGTGACAGCTTCAGCAGTGACAGCTTCCCTGACATGAGCTGCCTGCCCAGCGATGGCAGCCTGAGTGTCATCCCCTACTTCTGCCACGGAGAGGGTTCTGCTCACACCTCAAGGCTGGCATCTGGGCTCTGCTCCATGGGGACTGTCATGGAATGGGGCAGCCCTGTTTGTGGGATATCAAAGTCTCACTGGAAAAAGGGAATTGTGTCCTCATCCACTGGTGGAATGATGGCCTCTCCCAGGGTCCTGTGTGCATCATTGTGTAGCTGATGGTCAAACACAGCATGAAGCAGCTGTCAGCTTATGAATTTGTGATGTATCTGCTGAACATGAGGAGTGTCATCAGGACCTGCTAGTGGATTTAGAGCCTGAGGGCATCAACATCATGTGCCTGAAGCACTCCCTGTCAAGGAAGATAGCATGGAGCTAAACAGAGAGGGTGGCTGTGGTGGTTGGCAGCTGCCCTGTACAGGAACAGCCAAAAACCTTAATTCCATTTCATGGGCCAATGAGGTGACTGTAGCTGTGGGATGTAGGGCAGCACTGGCACAAAGATGTGAAAGTGATGGTAGAGTTCCTGGGGGTTGTGTCAGCAGAAGTAGAGAAATGGGGAGCTCTTTTAGGGACACACTGGAGGGAGCAGGTGTGTCCTGGACAGGATGGGAGCCATGTGCTTTGCTTTGGTGCAATGTGATTTTGGGAAAGCAAAGGGCAGTCAAATACAGGTTTCCCCAGTGATCTTGCCTGAACTTTTACTGTGATCATCATTGCTGCTGAGTAGCATGTTTGTGTTTTGCTAGTCTGGTGTCATAGTGCCTTTCCATTTGATCCTTGTGGGATGCTGAAGAGGAGGCAAGGTGTAAAGGCGTAGGAGAGTGTCATGAGGAGCAGCTTGCATGGATTCATCAGCCTCATCCTTCCAACACGTGGTGATTCCGTGGAGGAGCCTGGCCCAGAAAAGCTACACCTGAGTAAAAAACACCTCTAAAACATCGTGCAGAAGCTCCTGTGTGTGACAGGTCTTCCCTCTGTCTGACCTTACAGGATGGTGGAAGTGCTGTGGGAGTGGTGACCCACACCCATGGGGCATTCCTCTAGCTCAGGTGGAGGGAAATGAGGGAAAGGAACAAGGTCAGATGCTCCACAGGAAAGTACCCAAGTATGAACAGTGCATCCATTCCTGGCCCCTGCCTAATTACCTCACTAATACCTAATATTCAGATCCAAACACCTCTTTGAAGGATGTGCCTGGAGCTTCCTTATGCCTTCATTGAGCTTTATTGCAAGAAACTTGTTCTTTCATCACTCAAACACTTCTATAATTCCTTTGGAAACCTCCGTCTTTCCTAATGTTAACCATGGCTCCTAACTTTGACACGGATTTGTTTTTCTTTTCTTCCTTCTCTTCACTGGGTTTCTTCCTCATGCCATTTAAGTCTGGTGCTTCTTTCTTTTTCTGGGAGAGCTGCCTTACAGCTTAATCCCTGTGCAAGGCAGTTCCATGGAAAGCCTTCTGCAGACTTGGAGACCTGACCTTCTGCTCATCCTATTATCACATCCTCACCATCCACTCCTCCTGTATCCTACAAACACTCCTGTTGGCCAATATTGTGGTCATGGGACTTCTTTCTTTGAACTTCATTCTTCCGCTATATCAGGCCAATGCTTTCCTGTCACAAGGTGATAACCACACCCTTGAAATTCTGAGCATATTTCTTTTGCTGTGCTGCATGTCTGGACTCCAGGAGGTCCAGAATGCCTTCCTCTCACAGAGCTGAAGGAAACTCCCTGCCTGTGGGGAATTTTGAATGGAGAACTCCCCCAGTTTTGATTCCTCCACCAAGAGCTGAGCAGCTCTCTGGAGGACTGATGCACCAGCAAAGGCCAGAATGTGTAGCTGCAGCATTTCAAAGGGACATACTCCAAGTGGGATATGTGGGTCCAAGTGGATCCAGCCTTGCCCACGCTAGGGGTTTCTCCCTCCTCCACCTATACCAGGCACACCCCTGCCAGACACCAGCCCCATACCAAGGACTTGCTCGTCCTTCAGCAGCACCTGCAGCAACACTTGTGTGGTGCTGAGCATGGTGAAACAGGAAGCCTGCAGCAAGGGATTTGCCACTGTCTATATAATGTCTGGGAGGCGCCTGCAAAATATTGTCAGGACCATGTCTGAATCAGCCTAAAGAGCCCTGGCTGGAAGAGGAGGGAGCGCCTGGCCTGGGGGAGGAGAGCAGGAGCTGTTTGGGTCCCTGTCTCCATGGGATCCCCTACACACACTCTCTACATTGCTGTGACAAGGGCTGGGGAATATTTCCAGCCACGTTTCCACCTGCTTCTCCTTCAGATCCATGGAGATATGGGTCTGGGTCATCCCACAGAGGGGATTACCCTTCTTGCTGTCACATGGAGCTTCTCCCCCATGCTCTGCTGCCCATGCCCCTGGCTGGATTTGAGGCTTCAGACTGCCTGCAGCAGATCCATAGCTTGTTTTTCAAAAAAAACCCCTGAGTTGTGTTGAAATATTTCACACAGGGAAGAGCTACAAGTATTTACTGTGGGAGGGAAATAATTGAGGTTAAAAAAGCATGCTAGTGCTAGATGACTTATTAAGGGATTGCTCTTGCATATGGTGTTGGCAGTGGATATTTGGGGTGCAAGCTCTTTCCTCTCTTCCTGAAGGGCAGAGTTGCTCCCAAGCCCTTGAAGGCAAATTGAGTCATGCCCTTGTCCATGGATAAGCCACTCTTTGTATCCAAGGGGAAAGTTTAATTAGAGGGCTTGCAGATGGATAGCTGTGTGCAGGGAGCCTGGGCTCCCCACAGATTTGAAGCCATATCTATTTTGACTGGTTGGTGGCAGGAGAAGGGAGAGGAAGGCTCCCTACTTGGCACTTCTGAGGAAAAACACCTCCCCAGCTCCTCCAGATCCCACGGGTAGAAGATGTTCTCCTCCTCCCCACCCCTCCTTCTCTGGGGGCTGCCCTCTCCTGTTCTCCTGCCGGCCTGGCCTGCCCCAGCCAAGGGAGGTGCACAGCGGACTCTTGCACATCATTGGTCTGAGAAGGTCTCCATGCCCTTAAAGAGAAGGTGGATTTTCTGCTGAGCCACCCGAGAAGCCCTTTTATACCTCCTTACTCAGCCAGCTGCCTGCGGCTCGTCTGTCCATCCCGTCCAGCCAGCACGACTCTGATTTTCTCCAGACTCGGGTGAGCCTTTCTGCATATCTCCTAACGACCCAGCTTGCTCTTAGGGAGTGACAGGGGAGCAGATTTACTTATTTGAGTACTAAGGAGATAATACCAGGTGGGGGTGGCCTGCTGGGAGAAACAGGGGTACGAATAACACTTCATCCTCTGCTGATTGGAGAGGGTCTGTGCATTGGAAAGGTTTGCTCTGTCTCTTCCAGTGAGCTTTTCTCTTTCCGATTTCATGCTTTCCCCTGCCTTGGCTGGTTCTGCTCTCAGCTTGAGTGGCGAGGGCAAGTGGAGCCTAACGCTGACCTCCGCAGGGCCACGGGATTCAGGATCCTTGCCTGCGGTGACTCGGCTATGCTCGCTGCTTACACCCTTCCTCGGCTCCCTACCGGGCCCTTGCAGCGCCTTCCTGCCCAAAAACACCCTCGGGCAGGCACCGACATCCAAATTTATGGTGTGCTGCCTGCAGAACAGGTGATTCGAAGCCCACATGGCGGGCAGCGAGCTGCAGCCAGGCGTTGTCCCCCTGGCGTGGCTGCGGCCGGAGCGGGAGCGTGTGCGGGGCAGGGATGTCTGTCCGGGACACAGCCCGCGTTCCTCGGCCGGAGCGGGAGCGGGACAGGGATGTCTGTCCGGGACACAGCCCGCGTTCCTCGGCCGGAGCGTGTGTGGGGCAGGGATGTCTGTCCGGGACACAGCCCGCGTTCCTCAGCCGAAGCGGCACGGTGTGCGGGGCAGGGATGTCTGTCCGGGACACAGCCCGCGTTCCTCGGCCGGAGCGGGAGCGGGACAGGGATGTCTGTCCGGGACACAGCCCGCGTTCCTCGGCCGGAGCGGGAGCGGGACAGGGATGTCTGTCCGGGACACAGCCCGCGTTCCGCGGCCCCGGCCCCGCTGCGGCCCCGCCACCTGCGCCCCGCATCGCCGCCACCGCCCCGAGTCACGGGGCTGGCACCGCGGAAAGGCTGCCTTCCCAGGAGACAGCTGCAGCTCCTTCTGCAGCTCCCTGGCCATTTTTAGAAGCACTTTCCCTCCCCCCCGCTCCTCTCTGAAGTAATATGATGGGCCCGCACATTTTCCAGGATAAAGTTTCCTTGGCCCTGCAAGCTGTGCCTCCTGCCTCGGGCATGAGCCCCCATTAACACTTCCCCTCCTGACAGAGCCTCCCAGGACTGCAGACTACGTTTGGGGGCCTTGTCTGTTCTGCAAAGATCAGGCTTAGGAGATGCAAGGAGATACTGCTCTGATAGAAAAGTAAAATTCTATTTATGTGGAAATCATTTACAGCAAACCAAAGGTGCTCTTCCATCTCTTCCCTAATACTCTGTGTTGTATGTGTAAAATTTCCACTTAAAGCAAATGTGAGGGATTGCCTGGGGAATTTTTTTGTGCTTGTATCAACTCAACCACAACTTCCAGCTGTGCTGAAGCTGCTGCAACAGGCTCCCCTGTCCCACAGAATGAGTGCCTACACTGGCAGCAGCATCCTCTGAAGTCCTTCTTTGTCACCTGGGGTCATTGCCAGCCCTTTGCTGGCTTTGGGATATTTCTTGTTTATGAAGTGAAGCAAGGTTGAATGGCAAAGTAAAGCAGCAAACTGAAAATAGTTTTTGCCTTTTCTTCCCTCATTGAATAAAATGGTTTTGTGGGGGTCAGACAAGAAACATACCTGCAGGAATCACTGTCACAAATCTTTTTCTGGCTCAACCCCATTTGGTCTTTTCCAGAAGTCCCTTGATGCTGTGGTTTGTGTTGCTATGAAGAGATGTTTACCTCTCATCTACAAACTACAGCCTAGTTCCCTATATGATGAAAAATTGGTGAAGTTGGGAAATAAGAACAGACCTGTTCCTCTTTTTATTTTCTAGAGTAGTCTTGCTTTGTTTTTATACCCAAAAAAATAAAAAAAAGGTTTAAAACCCACAAAAAAAGAGACCACAAGCATGAATAGTTGTTAACTTTTTCTCTTGGTTTTCATTTCAGGCTCACAACCATCTAAACCAAGATGTCTGAGTAAGTTCCCATTTTTCTGTCTCTAATACACTGTTGGCATTTAAAAATTTTTGTTCAACCACCAACTTTTATGCTTGTTAAGATTCTTCTGCTTGTTTCCAGTTAGGATGCTAACTAACTGCCTTTTTTTCCTCTTTCCCCTTTCTCTTCCTTCCTTTCCTTGTCCATCTGATTTTCCTGAACAGTGAAGAGGTAAGTGTGTTTTGCTGGGTTTTTCCTTTAGCAATGCTTATGGCAGCAGTCCTGGCTTCACCATTCCTCCCTAGGAAAATCAGCTGCTGAGTGTGTGTGTGGGAAGAATGGCTCATGGTTATTTTCTTGCTGACTCCTCCTGGTAAACACATGAAGGAGAAGAAAAATCCCTTTTGAAAGGCTTTTTTTTCTTTTTTTTTTTGTCCTCTGGCTTGGAGGTAGATGCTTTTTTCCCTCCATTCCTGCTTCCCAAGTCGGCCACGAGATGGTGCTGGGAAGGCAGTGGTCCAGAGCCGCCTCTCCTCCATCATCCATCCATCATCCCGCCCTTGGCCTCGCATCCTCTCCTCCTTCTCCACATCTAGCCCTTCATTTTCTACCCACTGAGCACTGACAAAGCCCTCCTCAAAGGCAATTCAAGGAGACCTGGATCCAGGGGAGTGTGAGCAGGGTGGAAGTTTCATTCTTAGCAAGTTTTCTCTGGCTTCTGGCAAAGCCAGGTGGGGCTGGGGGTGTCTGGAGAAATGCAGGGGAAGGTGTGGGAGGATTGTTTGTGGCTTTGTCACTCCACATTTCCTCTTAGCAAATTGCTCCATCCTTCATTTCTGCTTGGCATCTCCCCATATGTCTGCAACACCACGAGCTCCAGCTTGTTCTCACTGAGAGAAAAGAGGATGTCAGGGACATAGAAATGCCACAAAATGGTGCCAATAACCAACATGTTCTTTTACTCCCCATCAAACCCAGACCTCCCAGAAAAGGCTAGGAGGACACTCTTTGCTGAGGTACCAGTTTTCAGGTGGAGAATAAGCCCTGGACTAACAGACCTCAAGGGATCTGATTGACTGATGGTTAATAGTGTGCTGCATCTCTGAGCTGGGTGCCTTTTACTTGCAGAGCCCTCCAGCCCTGTCAGGAGGGCCTTTGCACCATTTACTTATGTGAGACATGTCAGGTTTTGTTACATTTCACTCTGCACATCCCTATCCACTTCCTCCTTTCTGCAGCACAGACCCACACCCAAGTGCTGCTTTCTACTCCCCGCCCCTCAGCATATCAGATGTGCTTCCCCCTGGGGAGCCCAACTCAGCCGTGCCCTGTCTTCTGAGTGAAATGTTCAGGAAACAGCTGAAATGCAGAAGTTGTGGGTTTTTTATAAATTGGAGTCCTGTGGCTGCTGGTCCAGCTTGGCAAGGACAGAAGGGCAGCCTGTGGTCAGGTCTGTCCTCCAGCTGTGATGAACCTCTGCTTCAGCATCACTTGTGCTGGATCTTCCCAGCTCCAAGAAATTACACAGCCTTCATGTTTTCACCTGCCTGGCTGTCCTTGTCACCAGAGTGTCAGAAGGACACATGCTCTGGACTGCTCAGAAAGACATCCCACAGCTCCTGAGTGCCCAGGAACATGGGAGTCATTAGCTTGAGCACAAAGAAAACACATCTGAGTGAAGGGGAAATTAGAGAAAAGGCTAAAAGTCCCAAGAAGCCAAGTTTTAAGCCATATTTTATACATATTTTTTCAAGTTCATCACCCTTGTTATCTTCTCCTCTGGGACTTTGTAGGTTTTGGCTACCTGAGGCTGGCAAAGCTGGGTTCAGCAGGGAGCCTCTTCCTTGAGTGCTGCTGGTTTGGGGACAAACTGTGTGTCAGGATGGAGCCATCTCCCTGGCAGGGCTGCAGGTCCTTGATGGACTGTGGCATTGCATGGGGAAGAGCAATGGAAAGGGGAATGGGCACCTGATAACCTTCTTTTGTCTTGTCTTTTCTTCCACTTGCAGAAAAAGAGGAGGGCAGCCACTGCCCGTCGGCAGCACCTGAAGGTACGTGGCACTGCTGTGGCTGTGGGATGTGTGTCCCGACCTTCCCACCTCCCATCCCAAGCCAGCCAGCTCTCAGCACTCTCCCTACTAGAAGAGGCCACGATGCACAGCATAGGGGCCTCCCACCCCACTCCTTATTGGGTCTCTATCTTATCCCTTGCTTGGAAATGCTGGTATTTATGGGAACTCCCCTCTCCGCCAGGACTCCCACTCCCCGGTGAACCCCCTACCCTCCTTCCTTGCTTCTACCCTGCACTGATGCTTCTCCTGCTGCCTTCCAGAGTGCTATGCTCCAGCTTGCTGTCACTGAAATAGAAAAGGAAGCAGCTGCTAAAGAAGTGGAGAAGCAAAACTACCTGGCAGAACATTGCCCTCCTCTGTCACTCCCAGGATCCATGCAGGAACTTCAGGTACAGGCTACTTTAACACTTTCAGTGCTGGAGCAGAAAATATTGACTCCATCAGTCAGCCTGGTGGATCTAGACTGGCATTCCCGTCTTGACCCTCTCCTCACCCTGTGTTACTCTACAGCCAGATGAACATGCAGCTGGCTTGGGAGGCAGGTGGGGTCTCTCTGAAAACAAAAGTGGTCTGGCTGGCAGGAAAGATGTGTTTTAAATGGTGTGTTGAGGCAGCATTTGTGTGCAGCCAGTAGCATGGAGATTAGGAGCTGGCTGACAAGCTCCTCTTCACCTCAATCCCATCTAGCCTTCTGGACTGAGGGCTTTCAGAGCCAGAGTGATCAGGAGAGAGGAATCATGTGTGGGTCCTAGCAGTCAACATCCCTCTTTACTTTCTTCCCAGGAGCTGTGCAAAAAGCTTCATGCCAAGATAGAGTCAGTGGATGAGGAGAGGTATGACACAGAGGTGAAGCTACAGAAGACTACAAAGGAGGTGAGTTTCCTCTGGAGCCATCCTTCAGGGGAGTCTGCAACCCATTCCTCATGCCTCCCTGTACTGCTTGGATCCATCTCATTAAACCCATGCCACTCTCTCTCCACCCCCCATCATTTCATTCCCCCTGGAAGCTGGAAGACTTGAGCCAGAAACTCTTTGACCTGCGTGGCAAGTTCAAGCGGCCGCCGCTGCGCAGGGTGCGCATGTCGGCTGACGCGATGCTGCGGGCCCTGCTGGGCTCCAAGCACAAGGTCTGCATGGACCTCCGAGCCAACCTGAAGCAAGTGAAGAAGGAGGACACTGAGAAGGTATCCTTCCCTCTTCCTTTTTTCCCTTCAGGGCTCACACCTCCCTGTAAGATAGACAGGGTTCAGAATGACTCTTTCTCCATAATGTTCTTCTTCCTGCTCGGTATTTCCTTCTCTGGCACCCATGATGTTGAAACAGGAGGGTGCAGTTCAAAAAGATGTATAGCATGGGTGGAACTGGGTCCCTCTAGCTGACATGGGGGTTTCCACGTGTGGGGCTGGGGCCGGGTTGGTTCTTACCACGGCACCATTCACACCAACACAACCATCCCTCCCCCAGGAGAAGGATCTGCGTGATGTCGGTGACTGGAGGAAGAACATTGAGGAGAAGTCCGGCATGGAGGGCAGAAAGAAGATGTTTGAGGCTGGCGAGTCCTAAGCACCTGTGTCTCCACAGCCGTCCTCCTCTCCCTGCTGTCCCCGCTGCCCCATCGGGCTCAGGGGTGCTGACTGGGTGTCATTTCTCTCTAGTTTTGTGAAGAGCTGCATCATGGCAGCAGTGATGTAAATAAAGCTTTGGTGGGAGAGGTGGGTGTTGCCTGCCTGGGTGGCCAGACCCCGACTCGTGCCATGGTGCCAGCAGGGACTGCCTCACTGTGGCAGGGGCTGTGCTGAGGAGATGGGGGACCTCTCTGCTGTTGGTCCCTGTCCAAAGCTGCAGGTACTCATACCCTTCCCCAGTGGTGAAGAGACAAAGAGACAACAATCCAAGCCCCAAGAGGTGTTGTAGAACCCCAGTCCACGATGGCATCAGCAGGAAGCTGTGGGGAAGAGCTGAGAAAGGGGGAGAGGGGTGGCATCTGCAGGGCAGAAGCAGACCCTTTGGCTCTGGTGGGATTTGAGAGGTGTGAAATCAGGAGAACCTTGGCAGCACCTGCAGCAGCACCCTGGGACTGGTACAGTGTAGGGTGCTGTGATTTAGAGATGATGGCTGCCACCAGAATGGCATGGGGAGCTGGGGGGGGGGGGGCGAGGGGGCGGTGGGTCAGTCCTTTCCCTGCCATGGTGGGGATGTCCATGCTGGCCACTTTTCTTTTGGGTTAGCCCAGGACTTCCAAATTTTTAGCTGCCGACAAGTAAAATCTTAAATCAGCCTCAATGGTTTTTAAAAGAGAACAAAACAAACACCCAAATTCACCTTCCTTCTGCCTTCTCCCATCCCCCCAAACCCTCAGCCCATGAAGTTTCCGGCACAGCTCACTTCTGCTGAGCACAGGAAAAGCGAAACAGTGGCAGCACCCTGGTGCTGGAGCTGTCTGTGGGGCTGCTGTGCCAACCAGGGGAGAAGATGTCAGACTCGGAGGGGTGCCAGGAGGGTGCAGAAGGAGTGAGCCAAGTGGGAGATGAATCCCCTGAGGAGAATGAGAGGTGAGGCTTGGGGACACCACAGCTGCCTTCCAGTCCCAGGAAGCTGGGAAGCTGGGGAGGCACTGAGGGAAAGGAGGATGTGCAGCCAGAACAATGATGACCCATGAGGCTGGAATAGGTCAGATGTTCCATCAGGCTTTTGACAAGCTCCTCCAGCTAGGATGAAACTTAGATTTCCTAAAGGTCTCATCCCCTTTGAACTTCAAACCCTTGGGAAGGGGTTGATTGAGTAGGAACCTCAGCTCCAGCAGCAGAAAAGCTCAAGTGAGAGATCTGGTGATCTGGAACTGCTCTGCAGCTGAAATCAGCCCCATCTCTAAGACCTCTCTAATGTGGAGACCAGCTGCCTTCTCTCCTTGCTGGGCACATCTGATTTCTTGCTGCATCCCCTGTGTCTCCAGCCGAATTAACCTGGCAATGTTTCAGGCTGGCTGCTGTAAAATTATATATCTCCCTGTGCCTCTGCTCTGCTTTATTGCTTTATCAGCAGAGACTGTAAAATTTGGGGTCTCTTCACTTGAATACAGACAGCTTTCCATGAGGGCTAAAAGAAGACAGATCAGTAGCAGAGTCCACATCTGTCTGTGGTGGAGGCAGAGAGATAAGCTTGGCCAAAGTGCATCACCCAAAGTGCTCAGATTTGGACGGGATTCAGGCTGAGCATCCAGGGAGCTTGGGAGGTTGCCTGAATTTTCACCTCCAGCTTCAAAGCTCACATTAGCATTTCTCCCCGAGGCTTCTGAGAGCTGGCACAGCTAATGTTGATAGGAAAAACAAAGGCCTGTTGATGCTGCTGTAAGTCTGCTTGAACCAGACCGGTGTTAAGCTCTCTTCCATGAACTGGAATTGCTACATGGGAAACTGCTGTGGTGTGAGCCTACCCAAATAAGAGAGAAGCTGGTGGGAGCTCTGGAGAGATGGCTGCTTGGGCTGCTCTGCCTTGATGGGGAGAGGTTGGGAGCTCAGTATGCACAGGGTCTGATACTCAGAGCTCTCTGTAAAGCCCTGGAGGCTTCAGGTAACTCCTGCCCTTAGCTCCTACACCCACGGCCCGGCACATCCCTTGGGCTGTGCTCTGCAGGACACCTGCACCTGGGAGGCAGATTGGCTTTTCCCAAATTCCCCTGTCTCTGTCCTCCTGGGGCTTCCCTTCCCGTGAGCTGCAGGGCAGGCAGCCCATGTATGGTCACTGCCTGGGGAGAGGCTCTGCTGTGCCAGCAAGCCCCAGGCTTTTCCTTGCCACGTCCATCCCCAGCTGTCTTGAATTCTCCAGATCCTTAGAGGAGTCTCAAGGGTCTTTGCTGAAATGACTGCTGTTGCTAAGTATACCCATGGTTGGAAGGAGGCTGTTTGGGAAAACTGATACTTGGAGAGTTTTTGGACCCCTCAGTACACCAGATTCCTTGGGGGTAGAATGGAGGGATGGCTGATCCCTGCTCAGGAGTAACTGGTCACAGTTTGACCCAGCTGGGCTCATTAAAGTGGAAAATAGAAGGGAAATTAACAGGGGAGGACCAGATGGATTATTTAATGAAGCTGGGTTATACTTCTGGTTTCCAAATTGGATATAGGTGGTCTGGCAGTGGCATTAGGGATAAAGAACTGTCTCTAATTATAGGAGGTATCAGGTGCCTTCACTGTCCTTTTCTCCTTGAAGGAAAAAAAAAATAAAATAAGCCTGGCTTGCCTCGCCTTGCCTTCAGGCTTATTTTGCTATGTAAAGCTATGGGTTTGGAGGAGTGTGTGTTAAAGCAAGGGGATTGCCCAGCAGCCTTCATTTGAACTGCACTTTGCTTTTTAAAACACAGAAGACTCTCTGCTGGCTGAAAGGCTGGCTTTTTAAAAACTATTGGTGTAAAGTCTGGCTCTGAAGTTTGTGGGAATCCCTTGCCCTGGATTTCATCAGGTGAACTTACTTCAGAGGGTTTAGGGCTTTTCCTCAAATCCAAAAACCCTGTGATAACTGGAAGGGCTGGCTGTGCAGCAGGGAAATGCTTAACCTTGGTATGCCCTGGGGATCCTGGGCCCCTCTGCTCTGACCTTCACTGACCTTGCTAATCCAGCCCTGAGTGATGCTCTGCCTGCATCCCCCTTTGCATCTGTCACCCCTGTGACCCACAAGCCCAACTGTGGGCTCTGCCTGGGGGCTGAGCTGACTCCTTGCTGCCCTGGTGCTCTCTTCAGAGCTGGACTTGCTCCCAGCTAGGCACTCACCCAGCCTGGCTGCCGCCTCTGTCAGGACTCTGGCTCACATCTGGACACACCACCTGGCCAGGAGGTGCTCCGAGACCTCCTCAGCGTCATGTTTTTGTTGGGAACAGCTTTCTCTTTGAGGGGCGTGGGAATCCTGGCCCAAAGAAAGTTGTTGCTCAGGCTCCAGGAGGCATTGGTATGACCACCAGGCTCCTGAGAGTGTAATCTGGCTCTGCCTGCCTGCAGACCTGCAGTGGGGCTCAGAGGGAACATCACAAGGATTTGGTGCTCTCACTTCATCCTCCCCATGCTGTTCTCCTGGCACAGTCCAGCTTTGCAAACCTGCCTGGGAGGGACCTGCCTGCTCACCTGGAACAGCTGAGGGAGGGCTCTGCTCCCCCAGCTTGCACAGCAGCCTGGGGAGTAGCTGCAGTTCCTCTTCTCTTTATGAGTCCAATAAACTCCTCATCAGGCTGTCTTTGGGATTACTGAGGTGATGCTCTGGCATCCTTTGAAGCCAAGTGCACAAGGAATGGGTGTTCATGGTGTGGTTCTGCTTCAAAGCCTTTGATGAGGAGAAGCCTTGGGGATGTACATCAATGAAAGGAAGACACAGGGGTGTATGATAGGGGCTCAGGCCTCTTTGCCCAGGTCGTGTTCTGGATCATGGCCATCTGGTATGGGTCAAAAAATATATCCTAGGAGGTGCTGCACGTTCTGGGAAAGCAGCTGTCCTGCATGGCATGAATTTGGTATGATCAGTGCTAGAGGAGCACCCACGGTGCCCAGCCAAGGTCAGGGTGTCACCATGGTGGGTGTTCCATGGCTATGCCTGTGGCTACTGCCTCCGGGACAGAGGACAGGTTATCTCTACTGCCAGGCCAGACAGCTGAGATGAGATGGTCAGGAAGGGGAAGGGATGCCCTGACTGTAGAATTTGCCCACTGTGGTTTGGTACCCAGAAGAGGTGGTTTCCTACTCGACCTGTGTGACATCTGCCAGGTCTTGGCAGCTATTTGAGGTAACCCAAGGCATCCCACATTTGACACATGTGTTCAGGCACCTGAATTGCTCCCTGATTTCCCAGAATCCGCTAGGAAGCACAGGCCACTAGTGAGATTTGAGCCTCGCTCTCCTGAGGCTTGGACGGGTGTCTCGCAGTCCTCAGCCTGTCCTCATGTTCCACAGAGGCTCAGTCACGAGTGGGTTAACCAGCCCCACTTGGAGCCCATGTATGTTTTCCTTGCCAGTGCATCCATCCTAACGCACACCAGATGTGTGAGGCAGCCTTTGAAGTGTCTTAATCCCAGGTTTCGGCACTCAGAGTTGTCTTTCTCACGGGCAGGTCTCTGGGCTCCACTCCTGCAGCCCCCATCCCCTGCAGGAGAACTGGCAGCAAGGCAGGACAAAATATCTTCTGATATTTGCTACTTTAAGCAAGTCCCTCCTGGGATGGGCTGCTGGGGCTGGCAGCAGAGCTCCATATTCAGTCCATATTCAGTGGGAGTGTCAAACCCAGGAACTACTTGGGTTCAGCCTGTCTCACATGAGCAGTGGAGGTTCCCAGCAGCCTGGTGCAACTGGTAACTGTCCAAGAAATACATGGATAAAGAGGCAGATGCATGAGCAAACCCAGCTGGATTTATTAATGAATGGAAATGGCAGTCAGTGGGCTTCTATTGGCTTAATTGGTGACTTCCATCCAGTGGTCTGAAACTTGGGCAATCTGCAAGCAATTGATCTGAGAAGTGCAAGACTCAGATTAGCTGGAGCTCAGTTTATTTGGATTTCTCTTGCTATTGCACAGACACGTCGGCCCAAATGCTTTTGCCAGTGTGTGTCAGCACCATCCCTCTGCCTGCCACAGAGAAAGCTCTGCCAGTTTGCATCAGCTGGAGGCCTTTGGCTCTTTTGCTTACGCACTCATTTTGAAACCAGATATTTTTTGTTAGGGATTCATTCTGCATTACCAAGGAAGCCTCTCTCCCAGCTCTAGGTATCTATTGCTTGCTGCAGCTGACTAGACAGTTTGTGCAGTGCCTTTTATCAAGTCCTTGCCAGATAGCTTGGAAAATATGATCTTTTCTTCTGTGCTTGTGTTTTTCTGCTGCAGAAGCAGTTTCCTTTCCAGTGCAAGCTTGCTTTGGAGCCATTAGCATTGACAAACTCTGAATTATTGACAGACCCCAAACAATCACGGCTGCCAGCTATTTAGGAAGGGCAGAGTTCTCTCCCAGTAAAATTGATGACAATAATAATTTCCTTTTGAAATAAGTGCCTCCTTGCAGTTGTCACATAGCTTCCCATACCAGGAGCTGACAGCATTTTGCCCAAGCTGAGCTGTCTTGAAGGGCAGACTACTGTGATACATAGGCTGTGCACCCCTGCTCTGGTGGGATCTCTTCCTGTGGGTGGCATTTATCTCTTCTGCTGCTTCTGAATTCCAGTTGTCATCTTCCTGCATACAGCATTAGCTGCCCTTTGTGCAGAAAGGCTCCTCTCAGCTTTTCTTTAGGCCTCACTTTGGAGCATTAATGACTATTCCCCCTTGATGGAGCCATGTATCTTCAAGCTTTTTGAGTACATGATGATGCTTTTGCGAGCCCTTTCAAAACAGCTCCTGTCTTTTGCCCAGGCTTAGCGAGGGAAGCATGGATGCATATGGGCAAGCTGATGCTAGATGCCTTTTCCTGGGACAAGGAGCAACTTGAAGTGAGGGATGCAGGAACTGCCCAGTGGTGCTCGGGAGTTCCTTCTGATCCATTTAGTGTCCCCTGACCCCAGCTGGATTGACAGCCCGGCACTGT